CAGGGATAACATACATATTTAAATATATTTTATAAAGCGCGAGTACATAAAAAATAGCATACATCAAGAACAATATAAACGATCAAATACAAAAGTTGTAAAATATCATCACACTTACTCTATTCACAAAGAACGTCTACTCGCGCGAGTTTCCCACCAAAAATGACCTGTTAGCTCAAATGATCACATGGTCTGTAATCTGTGAAGCGGGAAAATTCGGCATATTCCGCCGTGCTTCTCAAATCTGACCTTTTCATTATTGAAATATTGTTCGAGACATTTGAATATTCAATGACATTTTATCGGCAATCATCGGAATCCGGCATAACGGTATCGATTCAAATATGATCGAGAATGGGAAATCTTAATTTATAAGTACACAGGGGTGGCAGGATAAAGCCATATACGAAAACGCACCAACAGGAAAAACATTTGAAAGATAATATATGGCCTGTTAGAGTAGTGGTTAAGGTCCTTGTTTCGCATGTTTCAAATCCCACAACGGGTGAAACTTTTATTAGGCCTTTGAATTAAATTATTGTATTTTTGTTTTACTTTTTAATGTATTTATTTTTTTATATTTATAATTTATTAATAATCATTATTTTATATATTTTTCCATGTATTTCATTTACGAGAATGATATAGCTTATAATGTATGGTGGCTGATTTGGAACACTTTGCGCGTTGCGTTGTCGACACACAACCTATATCGTTATCGCCTTTTCGTCGCACTGACGTCTTGTCGCTTGGCTTATAAGCCAATCCTTTGATTTGAGCGACATCGCGACAACACGCCACACGACAACGCGGCGTTTGGCGTGCTTCGCTAGCTACAAGACAGCGCACAAAAACGTTCCAAATCAGCCACCATAGAAATCAACTTTATTTCTCAACGGGAATGATTTGGAGTGCGGGTAACTGATGCCTGCACTCCAGTTAACTTACTGTGCAAATCTTTTGTAGAACATGGTCAAAGGAAATGCTCTTTATGTAATCAAACTGATATTGCCGATGAATTCCACTATATGTTAAAATGCCCTTTCTTCTGTTTTAGTAGGAGAAGCCTAATTCCAAGTAAATATTTCAATCGACCGAACACACTAAAATTCAAAGAACTGATGCAGTCAATGTGGCGCCGTTAAATGTCGCAACGCCGCTAAATGTCGCACTTGCCGCTAAATGTCGCACCATTGCCGCTAAATATCGCAAAATCATTTGCCGTTAAATGTCGCAATGTTAACGTTAAATGTCGCACGAATTTCCCTTACCGTTAAATGTCGCAACACTACCGTTAAATGTCGCAAGATTGAACTCAAGTTTTATTGTTGTATCAAATTAATTAAATCTGCCTACTCAAGACGAATTTTGTCTGTTTGAAAGCGAGTGAATTTATTATATATGGAACTGCGTTTCAATTTTGGCGACGATAATACTCATCTTGTTAATAATGTATATTGTTTTGCGTTAGATTTTAGCTGAACTTATGCAAGTAAATATTGATAATTATACAATTGTATACTTTTTGTATGAAACTGCAAAATTGGCATTGTTCTGTAAATAGTTTTGTATAATCATGTCTGTAAAATTGGCAGAAGAGATAGCCTAACGGTCTGGCTGCCTGAGGTGGCAGTTTGATGGCCTTGTTGACTGAGGAGGCAAATTGTCTCGCAGTCGAAAGAGGAAGCCTAAATAGGAGTTTGCCTAACGCCCTGGAAGCCTAACGTTGGCAGCCTAGTATCATGAGGAGACCGCCTAACATCTATACATCCTATCGATGTCAGCTTTGCAACCTTAAGTTGGCAATCTAACAGCCTAAAGTCGGCAGCCTAGTAGCTTAAAGTTAGTGACTTATATTATAAATATGGAAACAATTTAAAATACAGTAAAATCACTACGAAAGGTCTTGCAAAAGCACATACAAATGCATGATTATGGAAAAAACGCCTTTACCTTAAGGGCGCTGAACTTTGCAGTCTAATAACCTAAAGCTGGCAGTCTAGGAGCCTGGCAGCCTAAAATTGGTGCCATGTTATAAAAAATGGAACGATCAAAATAATAAAATGGCATGTTGGATTTTTCCTAAAATCTACTCGTACAAATGGCTTCATAATTTACACATTTATTAATCAATACAATATACTTGATCCTGGCAAGTTACATAATTATTGGATAAATTTTTATCAAATTATTGCCATTTTCAGCAGTTTGATAATGAATATCGTGAACCTAAACCTGATTTTTTCTTTAAACGTCCTTTAAAATGTATACTCAGTCTAACTGACTAAAAAGAAATAATTTCCGTAGAATACTGTAGAATTTAAGATATTGTGTCCGTCTATGGCGTTGTACACATAATACCCGTAACAGTTGCCAATGATACGCAACGACGTCATGTTCCAAAACGGACTTTGATGGTAAACATTGAGGTCATGTGTACAAAAGATGGCTAAAACTATTGGAAAAAAAATCAACGGAATCTAGTCTGAAATGTGGTCAACTTTTTACTTGCCAATTTTTAAGACGCTTCTCGAAAGTTCGCAAAGTAATAAGTCAGTGATTGGTATGGTGGCTGATTTGTGCCATTCGGGTTTTCGCCCCGCGACACCGCCAAGCGAAAAGTCGTGAAGTAACAAGTTAAAACGGCGGGATCGCATGACGAAAACACGCTAATTAGCGAGGGCGAGGGGCGAAGTTTAATAAATAAAACTTCGCCCCGAGGGGGCGCGGGACGAGACTTTATAAATAAAACGGCGGGGGCGCGGAGCGAAAACACGCTTATTAGCGCCACCGCTAATTCGCATGTTTTCGCTCCACGCCCCCCCGCGATTTAAACTTGTTAATTATCGACTTTTCGCTTGGCAGGATCGCAGGACGAAAAAACGCTAATTAGCGGGGGCGCGCGGCGAAGTTTTATTTATTAAACTTTGTCCCGCGCCCTCGCTAATTAGCGTGTTTTCGCTCCGCGTCCCCGCCATTTTAACTTGTTAATTTTCGACTTTTCGCTTTGCGGGGTCGCGGGGCGAAAACACGAATGGCACAAATCAGCCACCATAGATTGGTGATAAAAGTCAGTTATGAAAGTTGTGTTGCAGATGTTGTTTATGTAAAAAATTGGTGCTTGTTGTGTTGCCGATGATACCGTTTATTTAAGTCATTAACAGAAGTTGTGTTGCAGATAGCGAACATTTAATCATTTATGTAAGTTCTGTTGAAAAAATATTGTTTACAAAGCTTTTTTGAAGCTATTGAATACTTAAGTCATTGATGAATATTGTGCCGCAAATTTTGTTTACTTAAGTCATCGAAGGAAGTTGTGTTGCAGATATTTTACTTGAGTTTCAAATTAATGTTGTTTTGCAGTTATTTTTCTTAAGTCACTGATGAATATTGTTTTGCAGATATTTTACTTAAGTAACTGATAAATGTTGTTTTGCAGGTATTTTACTTAGATCTATGTCACTGATTATTGTTGGGTTACATATGTTGTTTTGTTTAGTCATTAAAAATGTTGTGTTGCAGATCATATTTGTAGTGAAAGTCATTAAAAAGTACATGTAGATCTACTGAGAACTCACTGAAACAAATTGAAATAAAAAAAAGAAATAACATAAAATACCATATGCAATCTGATATACGGTCTCTGTTTCTAACATTCTGTGGTTGTCTTTATTTCACATATTTTATGTTAAACTGAAATATTATATATTTGTAAAAGTATGTGCATGCTTTATAAGTATACTCTGTTATTATGGTTATAAATCTTTTTTTATCAAAGGAACAAAAATTGAACTTTTGAAATAACATATCAAATGTCTAACGATTTTAAAAAGTCGGAAAAAAGGGAAATCACTCGAAAACAATAAAAACATTTGTCTCATAACTTCAGCAGTATTCAATTCCAACAATATATCAGAGAGCTACTGATTTTATACATTCACGACCTCCCATTGAATTTACAGAGAAGTCAAAAGCGGTCAAAATACCTCTCGTTACATATATTTTCATTTGAAAATGTAACGCTGTCATACCTACTTAGATAAATGAAGCACCATGAGCACACTTGCAGCATCATGCGCACACTTGCAGCACCATGCGCACACTTGCAGCACCAGACAAATAGAATGAAAAATGTCGCGCTACACTTATTTACTCTTTGACTGATCAATACTATATACCCGAAGTTGTTGGTAGTCATAACAAATTAATATAATTTCAAATTGTACCAATGGCTTTTAGATCTATAAAAATATGTAAAATGAAACATTTTTATCAACTTAATTGTATGCTGTTTTCGCCATATATAGATCTAAGCCTATTAGTTTGCACTTTACTCTCTCGAAGAAAATTCTCTTAAGCTGAGGAAATACTGCAAGTTCCAACAGTAGCCAGATCGATCTACGGTTTTGATTTCTACAGAAATTTTAAATAGATCTAAGCCTATTAGTTTGCACTTTACTCTCTCGAAGAAAATTCTCTTAAGCTGAGGAAATAAACACACATACTGCAACAGTAGCCAGATCGATCTACGGTTTTGATTTCTACAGAAATTTTAAAAATCACCATAGATCTAGATCTAAACTGGGACAGACCTGGGACATACGGTAAGATATATCCCAGGACAGACGATAACTTCTGTCCTAGATCTAGATCTAGATCTACCTTGATTATTCCAAATTTTCGCGCACAATAAAAGCACCGGAAGTCGCACACCTGATTGAAGCGAAGCATCAATGTGCTAAAGATGTGCGTTGGGTAGGCGTGAGATAAGGATACGGCTTTTCTTAAGCACATGGTAATTTTAAATTTTAAGCAAATCCCGCGCTTTTTTGGTGCGATTTGCGCATGCGTAATTGAACTTCCTCTTAATAAACATTCGTACACATACGTTTTCGTCGCAGTGATGGATGTTGGAACCTTGAACTGTTCTTTCGTCAGCGAAGATAAGGTTGTTTGCAATGGAACAACGTATAGTCTACCAGAAACTGAAAGCAAATTAAATATTCACGATAAATCGTTTTGGATATATCTAGCTATTTACGTTGCTCTTGTGCTTGCAGCAGGTTCGTCCTCAAAATTTGTCGTATTGATACAGCAAAATAATTTTGATATTCCAACATTTAACACAGTTAAACGAGATTTCGAAGTTTGTTTAACTAATTATTGCAATACTGTATTGAACATTCTTCTCAGGGATAAAGAATAATTTTTGTCTGAGATTTAATGAAATTGGAACATGTAAATTTTATTAGTATCTAATTTCTCTTGCATTGATTGATATTAATTAATATCAACAGTCTGGCCACTATTAAATAGTTACATAATATGAAATTAGGCAAAGCCTATGAACGGGGAAGTCGTTAAAAAAATCCTTTCATTCTTTCCGTTTTAAAGGTGTCATACGATATTACATACACCGCTTCCGTTTTCACTCGGAACACTCGACGATTATTACTAATCCGAAAAGTTGAGATTTGTTCCGTTATCGGAATACCCCGCCTATTATCATTGACATACATTGTAAATGGCGGCGCCCGACTAGAACTGACACTGAAAATTTCATTGATAGGTATAGAATTCTATATATATTTTAATTGTTTTTTATTTGATTTCTTTTAAATATTCACATGAACTGAAGTCTATAGCCGGGCAAGCCAAAGCCCAGTCCCGCTTCGCAGGCCCGGTCTTTGACTTCCCCGTATTAGTACAGGCAACTGGATTCAGCCCATTTGACCAGTTCAGAGCAAGACTTTGTGCTGTCAGATCATGGCTTGCACTGTTACCTATTCAGTCACTCACTCACGGTGCATGTTTTGAAATTTTCCCTTAAAAATGGTGAATGGTTTGAAAGTTAGTATGGTCACAAATTAAGTTTGAACTTTAAACAAGCAGTAATTCAATTGCCACACCTCCAGATTTGTAAATGACAAAAAGGTATCTTGATATGAAACTTGTATTTGACAATGATTTTTGTTTTCAATTTTCAAAACAACATGTGGCTTCCTGAAGGGGAAAATATAGCAGGATAAAACAGAAATAGGGGCAAACCAGAATTCAAAATCCAAAAATTGAGAATAGAATTTACCTGCACATTTCATAAAATTTTCAATTTCAATTCAATTTAACATGCATGGTACCTAGCTGAAGCTATCTTTAGGACAACTTTCGGTCTTTCAGTGAATTAAATTTATCAACAAGCTTATACAAGTCTGCTGTTGTTAAAATATGGTTCTGGTGAAGAATGTTCACAGTGGCATTATAGGGAAAATATACCTATTTTAAGCTAAGGGGAAACAGCCTTTATTTGGGTGTTAAATATAGAGAGAAAAAAAAAATGTTTGACTTGAGTGGATCAGAATCTCAATGTGTGATACATCAGATCCAATACTCAATGAGAGTACTTTCAAATGACCTTATTTTAATTTATACTGTAGTAACTTTGTACTAAAGTGTTCCATAATGCCATTGCCAGCCCCATCATTTTGGATCACGCTTGTATACAATACATATTATTTTCTTTCTGTAACATGGTATTAAATGGACTCCACTGAGGTTTTTTGACATGATGGGACTGAAAATATTTTTTTCCAGATAACTGTACCATTTGATGTAGGTATAGACCACAAATCTTTGTGCAAACTTTCAGATCATTCAGGCACTTCGTTTTTCCATAATAATTATTCAAATTGTAAAGAAATGACCCAAAATGAAAAGCGTTTAAACCCTTTTCACTTAAATTAGGCTAAGAAAAGCATTAAACTACGATTTTCGATTTATTTTGAAGTATATTTCTTAACTAACTTTGCATATATTTCTGTTTAAAGCGCCCCAGTTTATTTATGTAAGAAATTCTAATGTTATGTTTTTAGGCTTTTAAACCTCAGTGGTGTCCCTTTAATACATGTGATTCTGTTGAAGGTTTGATAAAACCGAAACCGGTAGAAAATAAATGGCATTGATGTGTTGTATTTCTCCATTTTCCTCTTATTTTGATGTAGTACATGAGTTAAATAAAGTAAAATATCTACTTATATATTTGATGTCTGTATAGTATACATGTATAATCATCTAATACAGGGCTGATGTCTGGTTTGACAATGGGACTTCTTTCACTGGACATGATGACATTGAAAGTACTTAAAGATGGCGGAACACCTAGTGAGAAAAAACATGCTCAAAGGATTATTCCAATTGTTAAACGGCACCATTTATTGTTGGTTACCTTGTTGCTAGGCAATGCAGCAGCTGTGGAAGCCATGCCAATATTTCTGGACCGAATATCTGACCCAGTGACAGCCATCCTGGTCTCTGTTACAGCAGTTCTAATTTTTGGGGAGTAGGTATATTGTTTGATTTGTGACCAATGATTTCTTTAAACTGTAATGTTCTATTAATGTAGTGTGTAACAAATGTAAAATCCTATTTATGGTGATAACTTGTTCTTCAGGTTCTGTTCGACATATAAAACCTCTACAGTTAAATGTTTTACCTTTCTTATGAGTAAGGCTTACTGTACATATTTAAACTTTTTATGAACATATTTTTAGAAAATGCTACAATACAGTGGTTGTTTTTTCAGAGCAATACAACTTTCGTTGTTCAGTACATTTTACTTCTACAGTTTAAGGTTTTGTTACTTTGCCTTTTGACAGTTTTTTTATGAGTATTAATTAGAAAAAGCTAACATTTTGTTATCTTTTTTTTTCCAGAGTGATACCACAGGCAATTTGTACAAGATTTGGTTTGGCCATAGGATCATCTCTAGCACCGTAAGTCTTTACTCCTATGCAGGTTTTTTTGTGTGTATTTTTTTTTTACAAAAGTTAAAATCCTTAAGCTTTTTGAAGCCAAAATGATAGGAAAGTGATATTTAAAATATTTAAGTTGAATATAGTTGAATTTAAGGTTTCATAAAAAATCAAGATGGAAGTTAAAATGAAATTTAATCTAAAACATGGTCAACCCTTGATTTACTGAGCAAGTGATAAAGTTTTTTTAAGGGCAATTTTAGACTGGTAGATGTACATTTTCACGATGCTTGAACTAAAAGTGATTAGCATGTGTCACCAGTATAGAGGCAGACCAGCTAGCACATCTGTGCCATTAACCAGGCTCTTAACTGTTGGTTGCTCATTTGAGCCGTGCCATGACAAAACCAACATAATGGGTTTTGCCACCAGCATGGATCCAGACGAGTCTGCGCATCCACGCAGTCTGATCAGGATCCATGCTGTGAGCTATCAGTTCCTCTACTTGTTATAGGGTTTGTAAGCGAACAGCATGGATCCTGATCAGACTGCGCGGATGCGCAGGCTGGTCTGGATCCATGCTGGTCGCAAACCCATTATGTTGTTTTTGTCGTGACGTGGCTCATTTTTTTTTTGTATTTGATATTGTACATGTAATCCCATTAAGTGGACTGTTCCAAATTTAAAACAGGGCAAGTTCATTACAAAAATTCAGCAGGTTCAAGCTTTATATAAAGTTAGATTATAAACATTTGTGTATATCTTAATTTCAGATTGGTATATTTATTAATGGGTCTATTTTTCGTGATTGCCTGGCCATTGTCAAAGCTTCTAGACTGTATGCTGGGTAAAGACCATGATACTTTCTACAGAAGAGCTCAACTCAAGGTATAAACATCTCACTTAAAATATTACTATCATTATATAAACTTGACCATCTAGCTGATACATTACTTATAGTGTGGTCTCACCATGTATCTCTCTTTTTAATTACAGTGTACAAAGTACTAAGGGAAGTAATAAGAATAGCTTTTTGATACTAATTATAGATTAGCTAAATGTTTACTAGATGCACCATTTTTCTAAAATGACACTACTTTATGAAGTATTTACATTAAGATAGAGCTAGAATTTTTATGATAATCAAGTTTGTTACGTAAAGAAGTAAATAGATATCTTTACATTCAATGCATCCAGAGAAAGTAATGTTGATGACTTGCAAATCTAGTATATATGTTTTATGTGTTGATTGTATGTAAAGTGGATGTGTTTGTTTTATGTGTGTTGGTTGAATGTAAAGTGGATTTGTATGTTTTATGTGTATATGTAATGTTATTATATATTTAAGGTATTGGTTGACCTACACGGGGATCCAGGTGAACATTTAGCACACCCAGAGTCTCTGTCCAAAGATGAAGTTATGATAATTAAGGTGAGATAGTAAAATATTAGCATATCAATATCTTGTTATATCTTCTATTTTTATAGGCTGCTACAATTAGCTCTCTATTGTCATATAATTCTGTTTGGTTGTTTGGTTTTACGACACACCAACACAGTATAGGTCATATGGACCAAAACAGAAAATATTTTGGCTTACTTAAGGTGTTACAAACTTCAAAGCAACACTAAGGTTTAAAACCACCTCACCTGCTGGAGCTAAAAGATTCATAGATTCCAGTTATTGGAATCCATTTACTCACCTTTTATGATCATGCAGGAATATACATTGGCTGCAATTCTAATGCCTCAACCATTAAAGGCAACCCCTCTGCTACAAGGGGCCTATTGCCATACAAGTTTACTGTATTGTAACCACTTAAACTCTATTTATTCAAATGTATCGAAAAAATGTAGCCATTGATATATAAACATAAAATTTATCAAAATAATGTAGCATTGATAATATTAACACAAAGTGTATAACTATATATTGTAGCATTGATTTATAAACACATTGAATATCAAAATCATGTTGTTAATCATTCTTCAAGTAGTCATTGTTGACATACTAGATATTTCAAAGATTATGTTTAGTATTTTTGTTAATTAAAAGGGGGCACTGGACATGAAGAGTAAAACAGCAAAAGATGCGATGGTACCCATTGATTGTGTTTACATGTTGGATATCAATAGAAACCTTGATAATGAGACAATGTCTGAGGTGAGATTATTATAGTTTTATTAAGTGACTAGATTATCTTCATCTTATACTCTTGATGTACTTCTATTTTTCCGAAGGTTGGCTGTAGTACTCTTATTCAAAATATTGATTTTTATGCCCCCACAAAGTGGGAGCATATAGCGTTGCACTTGTCCGTCCGTCTGTCCTTCCGTCCGTCCGTCCATCCGTATGTCCGTCCGTACGTCTGTCCGTCTGTATGTCCCGAAATCTTGTGAACGCAACTCCTCTTAAACCGGATGGCAGATTTTGCTTAAACTTACAGGGATGAACAACCTTAATGTGTAGATGGTTGTAAAGGAAGGAATTTTCGCTGCGACCAAATTTAACAGAATTATGGCCCTTTGTTGATTTTTTCAGTATATACTATGTAAAAATTTTGTGAACGCAACTCCTCTTAAACCGGATGGCAGATTTTGCTTAAACTTACAGGGATGAACAACCTTAATGTGTAGATGGTTGTAAAGGAAGGAATTTTCGCTGCGACCAAATTTAACAGAATTATGGCCCTTTGTTGATTTTTTCACTATATACTATGTAAAAATTTTGTGAACGCAACTCCTCTTAAACCGGATGGCAGATTTTGCTTAAACTTCCAGGGAAGAACAACCTTAATGTGTAGATGGTAGTAAAGGAAGGAATTTTTTGCTGCGACCAAATTTAACAGAATTATGGCCCTTTGTTGATTTTTTCACTATGTACCATATAGAAATTTTGTGAACACAACTCCTCTTAAACCGGATGGCAGATTTTGCTTAAACTTCCAGGGATGAACAACCTTAATGTGTAGATGGTAGTAAAGGAAGAAATTTTTACTGCGACCAAATTTAACAGAATTATGGCCCTTTGTTGATTTTTTTCACTATATACTATGTAGAAATTTTGTGAACGCAACTCCTCTTTAACCGGATGGCAGATTTTGCTTAAACTTCCAGGGATGAACAACCTTAATGTGTAGACAGTTTTAAAGGAAGGAATTTTTGCCCTAACCAAACTTTACAGAATTATGGCCCTTTGTTATCCCCCGCCGATGGAATCAGGAGGGGGATATAGTTTTGGCGTTGTCCGTCCGTCTGTCTGTCTGAGCCAACATTTGATTATTATGAGCTTCATTCCGTAGTTAAATAAAGAACATAAACTCATAAAATTGAAATTAAGAGCTATTTTTTTGCTTTTATGAGCTTATTTTGCTTATGGACGTTGGTCCAGGTGGTGTTTATGAGCTCATTTGCCCCATAAACATCAAATTTTGGTACGTCCGTCCATCCGTCCGTACGAATTTCGTTTCCGGAGTAGTTCTCTGCAACTACTGGCTGGAATTCAACAAAACTTTATGGGAATCATCAATATCAAGAGGAGATGCGCATATCGTCGGCTTGTTCCGGTCCGACCCTTTAACTCAGAGTTATGGCCCTTGATTAGTGATGTAGTATGCATATAGAGTAAAAATGGTTTCCGGAGTAGTTCTCTGCAACTACTGGCTGGATTTCAACGAAACTTTATGGGAATCATCAATATCAAGAGGAGATGCGCATATCGTTGGCTTGTTCCGGTCAGTTACTTTAACTCAGAGTTATGGCACTTGATTAGTTATGTAGTATGCATATAGAGTAAAAATCAATCGTTTCCACACTACTTCTCTGCAACTACTGGCTGGAATTCAACGAAACTTTATGGGAATCATCAATATCAAGAGGAGATGGGCATATCGTTGGCTTGTTCCGGTCAGACACTTTAACTCAGAGTTATGGCCCTTGATTAGTTATGCAGTATGCATATGGAGTAAAAATCATTTCTGCGCTACTTCTCTGCAACTACTGGCTGGAATTCAATGAAACTTTATGGGAACCTTCAATACCAAGAGGAGATGCGCATATCGTCGGCTTGTTCCGGTCAGACACTTTAACTCAGAGTTATGGCCCTTGATTAGTTATGCAATATGCATATGGAGTAAAAATCATTTCTGGAGTAGTTCTCTGCAACTACTGGCTGGAATTCAACGAAACTTTATGGGAATCATCAATATCAAGAGGAGATGCGCATATGGTCGGCTTGTTCCGGTCAGACCCTTTAACTCAGAGTTATGGCCCTTGATTTGTTATGTAGTATGCATATAGAGTAAAAATCGTTTCTGCACTACTTCTCTGCAACTACTGGCTGGAATTCAACGAAACTTTATGGGAACCTTCAATACCAAGAGGAGATGCGCATATCGTCGGCTTGTTCCGGTCAGACACTTTAACTCAGAGTTATGGCCCTTGATTAGTTATGCAGTATCCATATAGAAAAATATTTGTTTCCTCGCTACTTCTCTGCTACTACTGGCTGGAATTCAATGAAACTTTATGGGATACTAAGAGGAGATATGCATATAGTCGCCTTGTTCCAGTGAGATACTTATAACTCAGATTTATGGCTCTTGATTAGTTATGTTTCTCATTGGCATTTCCAGATTTTACTATTTAACACAAAGTTATGGCTCTGTTATTGCCCTGAATATTTATCAAGTTCAAAGAATATTACTGTTTATGCCATGATTAATATATAAATAAAGCCTTATGTCTTCAGTTGTTGTGTTAATAATAACCAGTACTCGGCGGGGGATATAAATTCAACAAATTTGCTTGTTGATTTTTAGTTTTCAACTTGTGGCACATGTAGTCTAAAAAATATTTGACCTAGAGTCATAAGATTGACAGAACAGTGGCGTGTGGGGGCATCAGTGTCCTATGGACACAATTCTAGTTTTTTCAGAAAAACACTTCAATATTTATTTGACTGGTATAAAAATTTGTAAACTGGTTTGTCTACCAGTATTTGTTTGTCTGTGTCTCTTTCAAATGCTCTTTTGTGCATAATTTCAAGCATAAACCTGCACATGAGTAGAACTACCAAACTTCTGTAAGCTGAATGGTTACCTTCCGCATATGAAAGATTAAAAAAGTCTCTGACACTGACATTTTCCCACAGCAGTGAAGGGCAAGTGATTTGAAGTCAGCAATCTTAACCACTGTGCCGCACCTGGAGTCTTTCTCCACCATTGAAGCTAATATTACTTCTACAGTATCAGTGTGACTTAAGGTGTCAAGTGGCAGCTACAAGAAGTTGCCCTGTACTTCAGTGTTGTTATATTTTTCTGGTCCATCGGGATCATTGATTCCAGCACTTACAAGTGTACCAGTCAAGATGATGCTAGGGGGCGTGAGGGATGTTGCACTTATTCATTAATTCTTCATGTACAGACTCAATCAAACTGAGTTTGCAATTTTCATGCTATTTGTTAATGCTTCCTTAGGTGCACCCTTCCAGATTTCTTTTTAAACCCTACAAATCATACAATTAAAGTAAAATGTACTTGACTAGGCCAAAAAAAATCTTATCATTTTGCCTGTAGTAGCTTTTTTTATTTCATTAAGATAAATCCTTGTGTTGTTTTTTTGTATTATTTAAGATTTATTTGTTGCAGTTTGAAGGAATTAATTCATGAAAAGAGTTATTTTCCTCAATTAGTGGCTGATTCAATTAAAAATGAGAGAAAATATATCTGTATTCTTCCTAGAACTTTTGATTCATTTCATTCTTCAAGTATGACATGTTTTAATTATAACTTTTACATATGTTGCATCTGTTTTAACTTGCACAAAATTTAATATTTAATAAATTATAAGAGTGTCTTGAAGAAAATTACCTAGAGTTTTATATTACTCAGAGTTTTGAAATATTAACTTTATCTCTGATATTAAATTCTGCAGATTGACTGAAACATAATATTTTTAATTCATATTAGAATGCTAAAGGCAGTTTTTATATAGTTAAGAGAAATAAACATGATATTTTGTGATGATTTATGAATATTATGCAAAAACAAAAATTGTCACGAAATATGTGAAAGTGGAAATATTTGTGAGGCAAATTAAATTTTAATGTCAACAAGTTAACTTCTATTTCTTAAAGGAATGTTCTGATGCTCTATGGTTGAAGTCTTTTTATTTGTTCTTTGTTTCATTTGAAAGATAATTAAATTTAATTATACCAGTCCAAATCCCTTGCATCTGATTGATTGATTTTGGTAGCGTATTTGAAGTTAACCAATGAGTGACCTTGATTGTAGACTGGTTGTCAATTTGCCATGTATGAATTTAAACCTGTGTTGGGGAAACAATTTTGATCATTTGAAAGTTTATAAAAGTAAAATAAACTGCTGTTGTTATTGATGTTGGTATCATTATCATTAATTTTATGATATGAATGTTTTGTATTTACTGCCAAAGCGTCTTTTTTGTCTTCGAAAATTAAAGAATACATAATAAATATATAAAAAAATATATAAAAACATAGATTGTTGAATATTTTCTTGTTTGATACTCAAGGACTTGATAAATATAAACATAGTTTAGATGTTTGAAGATTTGTGTGAGTATCACTTTTAAGCAGTAAGAAACCAGGTTGCAAGAGATAGGGATCTTCAGATGTTCAGATGAACATTACATTGTACTTTCAGCTTAGATTAGCCATGCACAAAACTCCTAGTTAGGGCAACTGCCACTCACATGCTTTATGTTCATTTATGTTGTAGAATTTATGAGTCTAAAATTTGAAAGGTTACATATGTTGTTCTAGAAAATATACATAAGGTTTTAATAGATGCTTGTTATAGAACTCTTATTCATGTAGTTTTTAACATTTTATTTATAGATTCTTGAGCAGTCCCACTCTAGGATACCTGTATATGATGGTAGTCGAGACAATATTGTGGGTCTACTGCTGGTGAAAACACTTATTAAATTAGACCCAGATGATGCCACGCCCATCAGGTCACTTGTAGAGAATGGAAATGCAAGACAAGTATTACATACTAGCATGGATAAACCATTGTTTGATCTTCTAAATGAATTCCAGGAAGGCAGAGGTATGATTTGTTTTAGTTATTATTACACTGAATTTTGTGATAATCATATTTGATAGCACAACATTTTTATGCTAAATCCTAAAGGCTGGGTTTGGGGGAATCATTGTGGTAAATATGATTAATTGATGTTACCGGAAACTCAACAAATGTGGGGTTTTCCCATCTTATCCAGAGGTACATAGTTTGTTATAGATTTACATTAAACTACTGTTTACAAAAGAGTGATCAACATGTTGCACTTTTTATGAATTTATTTACCTAGTTGTAACTGATAAAGTTCGATTGAAATTTACAAAGTATCTCTGTTCGTGAAAATATTTAAAAAGAAAACTATTGATGAGTACATGAACTGTTTTAATAGAATTTGAAGAAAACAATAATCAGAGATGTGTTTCCCTGCTCATTTTGTGTAATGAATCTGTCCTGTTTTATATATACAATAATCCTTATGTTGTTTTTAAGCCATCATTTAAAGATCAGACTTGCTGATATTTAGTGTTGATTCAAGATTTTTAGTGTTTTGATTTTGAAGCTTATATTTATATAAAGGTCATCTAGCTGTGGTGCATCAGTATAGAGGACATGAAGTGTCATCAGAGAGACAGTCTAGTGTCCTAGATGATGACCCCCACACACCATTACTTCAAAATAATAGGCTAGAAGATGATGATACTCTATTGGATATAAGACCACAGGTAGATAATTTCTGGATATAACACTACAGGTAGATAATTTCTGGATATAACACTACAGGTAGATAATTTCTGGATATAAGAGCACAGGTAGATAATTTCTGGATATAAGACCACATGTAGATAATTCTGTATATAAGATAACATGTAGATAATTTCTGGATATAAGATCACATATAGATAATTTCTGGATATAAAATCACATGTTGATAATTTCTGAATATAAGATCACATGTAGATAATTTCTGGATATAAGACCACATGTAGATAATTTATGGATATAAGAGCACATGTAGATAATTTCTGGATATAAGATCACATGTAGATAATTTCTGAATATAAGACCACAGGTAGATTATTTCTGGATATAAGACCACATGTAGATAATTTCTGGATATAAGACCACATGTAGATAATTCTGGATATAAGATCACATGTAGATAATTTCTGGATATAAGATCACATGTAGATAATTTCTGGATATAAGATCACATGTTGATAATTTCTGGATATAAGACCACATGTAGATAATTTCTGGATATAAGATCACATGTAGATAATTTCTGGATATAAGAGCACATGTAGATAATTTCTGGATATAAGAGCACAGGTAGATAATTTCTGGATATAAGACAACAGTTAAATAATTTCTGGATATAAGAGCACAGGTTGATAATTTCTCGATGTAAGAGCACAGGTAGATAATTTCTGGATGTATGACCAGATGTAGATAATTTCTGGATATAAGATCACATGTAGATAATTTCTTGATATAAGACCACAAGAAGAAAAATTCTGGATATAAGACCACATATAGATAATTTCTTTGTATAAGACCACAAGAAGATTTTTTTGGATAAAAGACAACAGGTAGATAATTTTTGGATAAAAGACCACAGGTAGATAATTTCTGGATATAAGATGACAAGTAGATAATTTCTTGGTTTAAAGACCACAGGTAGATAATCTTCTAAACTTTCTGGTTCATGATCTACTATCCAGCATGAGATGTTTAACCAATATACATTAATTTTCAGTAGATTTTTTTTTCTGTTTAAAGTTTCATGAAGTATATACGTGTATTATTATATTTTAAATTGCTGACATATAATAATGTTACAGACTGTGGGTATAATAACACTGGAAGATGTGCTAGAAGAATTAATACAGGAAGAGATCATTGATGAGACGGATGTCTTTGTGGACATTAAACGTCAGATACAGGTGGCGCGTGCAAAGGCAGCTCGAGGTGACACAGTTCCTAAGGTTAGACTTACTTGTGCCTACGGTGAATAATGTTACAGGTCATATGTTAGAGTTTTAGATACAGTGCCACCAGGGTTTAACATAACACTGTTATGAATCATTGAACTAATTTTTCATACTTAACTTTTAGAGGTTTGCACACACTTCATTTGAGATGTGTGAAGTTAAATGGTTTGCTTCAAGTACATGTACATGTGTATATTGCTTACTTATGATAATCATAATACATTTAGTTTAAAGATTAAGAAGGTGTTTCTATAAGCTTCTAGCTTTCTACACAAGCAAATAAACCAAATTCTTTTTAATGAAATTGATATTATTAATGTAAGAATGTTGTATAAACTTTTTTTTTCATTTTACTGAACTTAAAATTATCTTATCGGTTAACTTTATTTTACCTTTCACAGCAGAGAACAACAAAGTTTAGACGGAGTGCCTCCCACCCCCCAGTGAGTAGACAGGCACAGGGTGTGGCACCTGTCCCGGACCTGGTCACCATTAACAAGAGTACTGATGATCAATTTGGGCTTCTTGTTGACACAGATACGGACAACCTACTTCAACATGAAGTGCTGACATGATTATAACATGGCCATATCGTTACCTAAGTGCAGTAATGGGTTAAGTCCTTCTAAATTTGATAGGAGTTAACTAGTTATTGCACTAAGGTGACGAAATGTCTTAAATCTGTACTGAAATCCAGCCTACTGCACTAGATTTTTGTATCAATAGAATGTCTGTAGTAAGACCATTATATTAACATTGAAGCATTGAGACATCTTCGAACGTAGTGTGACTAATTACACTAGTTTGTTATTTTTGGACATACTGCCACTGCTCAGGGTATCAGCTTTACTTGTATCCCTTGTGCTGGGGATTATTCAACACATGTACAGTTATTATTGAAAATTAAAAAAAAGTGTTAAATTTAAATGAATTATATGCCTTTGAACAGAAATTTTACATTTAAAAGCAATATCAACAGTGAATACAAATTGGTGCATATGTAATTTCACTGATGTTTCGAATATAGGTAACTAGACTTGTGAAGCAAACTTTTGAGCAATATTTACTAGAGCTTTAGCTTTGTTGCTTATTTTAAGACATACTGATCTCTGCTTATCAACTTCTATATTCTGCTATTGTTTCCTTTATTTAATCAAGAAACTAAATGTTTTATACAATAAAAGTTTTTGTACAAGTTTGTTATTTTACAGGACAGCGATTTTAAAGTGTATTTAGTTGATAATGATAAATAATGTGAAAAATTGTTAAATTTAAGATAGAATGTATAATGATAATTTGTAAAATTGATAACTGATGAAATGCTTGATATATATAGACAATCATTAAAAACAGCAGTTACTTTTTATAACCTTTATGAATCACATTACATGTTATAACCAGTAGTATATAAATAATACATAGGTTTGTGAGTAACAGTAAAAATGTTATCTTTTGAAAATACTGTTACACGAGGCGTTAGCTGATATATGATATATATATATATGTATAAATCATTTGGGTGGTACAAGTTACTCAGTATGAATCATTAGGATATATATGTGGTAAAAGTTACCCAGTATGAATCATTAGGATATATATGTAGTACAAGATACCCGATATGAATCATTAGGATATATGTATGTGGTACAAGTTAACCTTTATGAATCATAAGGGTATATAAGTTGTACAAGTTACCTTGTATGAATCATTAGGATATATAAGAGGTGTAGTTCCCTTGTATAAATCATTAGGATATATAAGTGGTACAAGTTACCCTGTATGAATCATTAGGATCTAAAAGTGATATAAGCTAACCCTGCATGAATCATTACCATATGTAAGTGGCAAAAGTTCCCCGGTATGAATCATTGGGTTAAATAAGTGGTACAAATTGCCCTGTATGAATCATTAATAATTATAATTGTCATTAAGGATTATTTTTTATCTGGTCATTCTAATTTCATCTCTTATAAAATGAGTTCATAGTAACTGTCTTTGCATCTTTAAGTGACAGCCATAGATCAACAGGTTTTTTAGTAAATGAAGAATTTATCATTCGAAAAATTTGTTTGTCTCTCTCACATACAATATTGAGTTCAGTCAAGTAAAATCTTTATTCATTTTTGTTCATCACGATGAAATTGAATTGGCAACTACTGTAGAAAAAATATTTTCTTGAAATTTGTATTCTGAAACTGCCATATTGTTTATAACATATTCACATAAACCAATACAAACATGTATATTTATATTTGTCAGCTCTCATGTTTACCATTTATTCTGTTAAGGGACTTAATTATTAGAATAAAACAGCAATATGTTCATTTGTATTATGTGACTTGCGCACAAAGTGTTTATTTATCTATTTTCTTATCTTATTATGTAATTAATTTATTTTGACATTTTCAAATGTCTACAGTACATATTGATGATAATGTAACATTTAGAGTCATTTATATTTTTGATATATGTTTATATTCTTAGAAAATTGTATGCATATACATTTTGTTCTTAATGAGTAACTTATCAAGAAAACCGATTGAAATGTGTTCTTTTAACAAATTACTGCAATGTTATGATACATGTATATGGAGTTATCCGTTTTGGAATTGAACATCATTCTGTTGTAAATTTGACTTTATTTAATATTTATTTATACATGTACTAAAATTTATCATTATTTTTGGTGCCAGGCATACATTCTATGACAAGGTTTTTGGAAAAATTATCTTCAGTTTTTTTATTTGTACATTTCTTACTAAATTAAATTATTATAATACACATATTATGTACAAGTTTGTGCGATCTTAGACATTTTATAGTCTGTTTTTGTAAACAGGTGCTTGTTGCTCCATTTTCTGTATTCTTTTTCTGATTTCATCTATTAGACTGTGATATCTCATATTTAAATTTATGCTTGTTAAATATATATCTTCATCTATCTACATTTGCTGTGCATTAACATATGATCATTATATGAATGCTTTATGAAGACATTAAAACTAGATTTAAAATTTGGAGTTGTAGTTTATATAATGTTTTGCAACTTTTCCCTTCTATTTTTAACTATTACCTCACAATACCAAAATTGAGCCGTGTCATGGCAAAACCAACATAATGGCTTTGCGACCAGCATGGATCCAGACCAGCCTGTAATAGAGTTTGTAAGCTAACAGCATGGATCCTGATCAGACTGCGGGGATGCGCAGGCTGGTCTGGATCCATGCTGGTCGCAAACACATTATGTTGGTTTTGTTGTGACGCGGCTCAAATGAAGTTATCTATGGTTAAGTTCAATCCAGAAGAACAGTGACTGAGTGGTTAGGGTGTCACTACCAAAGAATTGTGGGTTTTGAGCCGTACATTGGTCATGTCCATGTTACCCTCTCTTACTAACATGTTTAGTTTGTAAAAGAAAGATGCAAATGCATCAGAAAAGAACTTGCTATCACTGTGTTTCAAACTTTGTTTTAAACGAAAGTAACAACATGCCAATTGGCAATTGCCTGATGCTGTGTTTCTTTAATAAAGGTTTATCCGCCTGTTAAAGCACAACAAGTAGCTTTCACTATAAAGTACATAACCTGGACATGTCACCAGTCAGGTCCTTATCCCTTAGATTTAAGGTTAAAGATTGAAGTAATGAGCCATGTGCTTCTCAATGATGTTCATGTACCAAGGGCAATGAGTGAGATAGCCTGATACAGTTGTCTAAGGTTGTATTCAAAGTTGTGTAGGTATGCACTCAACTGTAACTCGCAGGTCTCTTGCGGCTTTTTTGTGGCTTGAGCTTTACGCTTTATATTGTCATCCAAACTATAGTTATGGCTATTCTACAATGAAATTAGGCAAATGGTTTCATGACGTTCAGCTCTAAGAATGGTGCTTTTTATGAAAATTTGCAGCTATATACAGATAGAAGAAATCGCTGATCCAAAAGTCCATCATGCCATAAGGGCCTCCCTTGGACATTTTTCCTCGGCTAGAGCTTTGTGCCCTCTGGGACATACAAACACTTTGTCTCGTGCCATAACATGTCCATAAAAATGAACCTTCAAACTGGCTAATTCTTAAAGGAATCAGATAAATGATTTACAGCCTCCGTGGTCGAGAGGTTATGGTCGATTACTACTGATCCAGTTACCTCTCTGGCATGGGTTCGATCCCCGGGAGATGCTTTGGTAGTTTAGCACGGAGGAAGGTAGTCTAGTACTGGTGTAACTCTCCAGGAACGATGGTTAGGAAACTACCCGCCTATATGACTGAAATACTGTTGGGAAAAGGCGTAAAATGAAACAAACAAACAAGATGAATGATTTTGTAACAGTGGGCTTGAGAAAATAGTGCTTTTTACGAAAATTCGAAAAACTATTTTAAACAGAAAAACCATTCTAAAAATCAACCATGCCAAAGTTATGAGTCTTGGGTATTGAGCAAAGAATTTTCAATGTTCACAAAAGAGCCTTATTTCATTCATGCAAAGAGGTACAGGCCTTTGGCAGTGACCTCCAATCATAATACCCCAACACATGTGCATCATTAAATTTAAGTTTTGAAGATTGATGTTGCAAGCAAACCTTTAACAATTTTCTAAGTTCACAAAGGGTCAATATTTTATCAAAATCCATGCCAAGAGTTATGGGCCTTGGATAGTGACCACCATTTATGATCCATAAAGCATATTCTTAGTTTCAAGTGAAAACCTTTAGTAGTTTTGAAAAGTGACGTTCACAAGGCTCATAATGCAGTCAAAATGGGCATTACACTGCAACCTCTAATTTTGATCCTTAAGTTCAAGTGAACACTGTCAGTAGTTTTGAATATTGATGTTGCATGTAAAAAAGTTAACAAAGGGCCACAATTCAGTCAAAATCTCTGTCAGTTATTTGCCTTGGATAGGGGCCTCCAATTATGATCACAGACATGCAAAACTTTAACAAATAATTTTTGTAAGCTCCTAACGGTCTATAATTCTCTCAAATTTCATGCTATGGTTACCTGATCTTGGATGATGTCAAATTATGATAGGTAAGCAAGATTGCCCCCACTATTCTTCTTAAAGTTGAGCTCAAAATTAAGTATTCAATAAACCTATAATTGGAAATGAGAAATGTGGTCAATCTGTATTATTTCAGGCCTGAAACCATTTGTAAATGTTTTGTCTATCATTTCTGTTTTAGACGAGTCTGGCCGCATGGTTGACTTCAAACCACTTGGCCGTCACCCTGTGATTTCGAATCCTGCCAGGAAATTTGGATTCTTTCAGGTGAAGAAGCTATCCTGCTAGCTTAAGTAATGTTGATGGGTTTACTTGGTTGCACGTTTGTACCTAAAATATCGCAAGGAGGGACACCTGATGTCTTCCTCCACCAGTAAAGCTGGAAAGTCCCCATATGACCATTACAGTTGTGATGTGACGTAAAACCCAACAAAAATATAAAATAAGGAGTAAATATAACAAGAACAAGTTTTGATTAACTTCTTTTAATTGCCTTCATGCTTTATCTGAACACAATATCTTTACATGTATTATAATCTACAAAAATAATATACTAAAATGTAAAAGTACAAAATTAATAGACAAATATATATATATTAATATACTTGATGTAAACAATGAAATGTCTATTAATTAAATATCACAATGAAAGCTAATATACTAACAAATGATGACATTTTTGCTTCTGTAAAAAAAACGAAAAAAAAAAAAAAGACAAATAATTGAATATTCAAATATCTATTATTTTGATGCTAAATTAGTATAATAATTTAAATCCTATGTTACCAGTATTTATTACATGTATAAAGTCAGTATATGAAATAAAGGTATAAGTGTGCACAGAAGTTTGAACATGTAAAACAATATCTAAATTATTTTTGTTTCATCAGGTGGTTAGTAACCAGTTGTGGGTAAGTACAAATTTGATCTCATCAAGGTGACCTTGAACTTGCTAATATGAGAAATTAATTTTTCATTTAACAACTATGATGACACAAGTTTTCTATTCCAATATGTTGTATTGCTTAAAATGATTGTGTAAAATTATTTTCCACAAGTCTGCAAGGTTGAGTGGGAAAACAACTTTATACAGTCAACAAAAGCCATCAAATCTATCAGAATTACACACGAGTTAATTCTTTCCTTATCAATGCACTTTTTGATAAAATTTGTACAGGAGATCTGAATAAAACTGGAAAGAAAAGATTTTCCTATGAATTGATATGTTGTAATGAATATAAATTCAATATACATTCGAGATATAGTAACTCCAGCAATGCATAGTGTAAAATATGGAAAATTCATTACAGATGCATGGACATATACATATATTTTAGTAACTGAAAATGACAGGGTTTTTTTTTCATCATAATAAATATACATAATTCATATTCAATACTGATTGATAGAAAGTGAACAAGTGATAATTAACAATCATCATCAAGGTAATCATTACAAAAGAAGAAAATAAATAATTCATAACATATCAATAATTACAAATGAACCATGTAATAACAAAAAACAAAGTTGAGCCAATCAAATATCACAACAAAATATTGTAACGAATATATATAATGCTAGGGTTTCAAGCTAAAGTGTCATTTACTAAATGAATATAAAAAAAGGAGAAAAAAGGGGGTACAATTAATTATATTGTATCATGTAAAATTAAGATTAATAAAAAAAATACAGTAATGATAAAAATTGATCCCTCAAAATACAGGTAGTTAGGCAATAAAAAAAAATATTTCAAATTTCAAACCTACTACCTCCTTCAAACCAAATCATAATTATATGAAATTACTGTTTTGAATAAATTTATATAGTTTTAGACAATAGTCTCAAATATATTAAAAAATATTTAGATACCAATTTAGAAGCATTTTTTTGTAGGACCATTGTTAATGATAGTCCATTACTTAATTATTTCTGAAGCCAGTGCTACAGAAATTATACCAGGTGATTATATCAAAATGATGATACAGGTATGTCAAATGTATGTAACAGAAAAAAAATGATCCAGAAACAAAGCCCTGAGAGCTGAATGATGGACTTCACATGTATACTGTATGAAATGTGTAATTAACATTAGAACTTCACATAAATGAAGGTCTTTTGGTCTACAACACTTAAGCCAGTAAAAATACCTAAACTAACCTACAAGACAAAGGCATTCCTAATGCGATCTCACAGTCTGGACAAATTAACTAATTAACAATATAACATATTGTACCCCTATTCAAAATAATGTGTTAATACGCAGAATATCTTTTGTAACATTCTGAACCCAAACACAAATACTTTGTAATGTATTTTAGACATCAAATTAATGACTATGCATTTGATCATCTCTCTTCCCTCTCTTTTACCTACCCCCCTCCCACCACCTTCTATAGTTACATAAATCTAAAATCATGACAATTACCTGAAGCTACAATCCGATTACAGTATTTATGATTATATAAATAACAGACTAGCTAAAGTTACAACCATCGCTTAAATCTAACAAATATTTAATCACTGAAAGAAATTCAATAATTTTTTCTAAGCAACAAAAAAAATCAATTTTTACTTCAGATTATTATTATAAGATAAAGGCTGATCTATCAGTATTACATTAACAACAAAATTGGCATATATTATAACAATAAATACTTACAAAATTCTATAATGTAATGTAATGTAATAATTTTTTTCGTCAAAAGCACTCATTTTTTTCATCAAAAGCACTGAAACTTTTTTCAGCACTATTGCATTATTTTGGCAATAAATATTATGCAGTGACTGACTACCCTGATAGTACATTGCTCAACATGGCAGCTTTTTTCTTAAAAACAATAAAAAAAATTGTTATAGAAGTAAATCATGGTAATGGAATATGGTCTTAACATGTTAAAACTATGATTTGTTATAGTTAACAGTGGTCATTTTTTTTTCTAAATGTGTGCTTTACTGTTTGGTTTTAATAACACAGATACTGTCAATGTCACATATTGCTATCATTGACAATGATGCTAATGTATTTTGCAAATAAAGACACCTACATGCATCAATACACATTATTTCAGGCATAAGTGTGCACATTCATTTAATCAATAATCTTCCTTTAGTAAGTTGGAAAGCTCCCTCAATTAAACAACTTGGCTAAATTTGAACCCAAAGAGCTAAATTTGAACCCAAAGTAACAAAATGTAAGTGAAGTCAGATCCATGACGTTCACCACCATGGTCAACCAATAAATACATGTTTGTTGGTTAGTGATTTAAACATTAAACAAAGTAAAACTGACTACAGTACAGAAAACACAAAACATGTCCAGGTTACGGAAACAATAAATTTGTTCATATATCTTTATTAAACAAGAGTATATAAAATATTTCATAGCAAACACTGTGATCAGACATGCAGACATGATACACTTTTTCCCCCTTAATCAATTCTTAATTTAAACAAATACCCAAATCTTATAATATTTGGCACTGATTTGAGACATAGTAACAAATTATGGATAGCCCCCCTTACATGATTCTTCTAAGTAAATTTAACCACCTACTTAAACATATTCTGAATAAACAATCATTCTACTAGCACTTTAGGTATCACACATTTCACATGTACTCTTCTAGTGATTTAATAAATGCTTTGATCTTTTTGTATATTTAACAATCTGTCATACGAGTCACATGATCAGCTTTAAAAGAGCACATGACCAATACACATGTCAATTGATAAATTTCTGTTGCTTTTTTCTCCCATCATCGCATAATTTCAAGTCACTCATGTAAAATCTCACAATCTATTCAGTTAAAGTCATGTGACCACTTTAAGTGTGTCACATGTCACTATTGTCACTATGATTCCATACTTGCTAGAATTCTAGACACCTCTGACCTCTGTCCTGGGGTCATATGTTGTGTTATATGTACTATAGAATCCATGGCAACATCGGGATTATTTTCTATCAACCTGAAAATTTAATGAAATTTAATGAAAAGTATATTAAAAATCATTATTATTTTTATAAAATGAAAGACTCTCCCTTATATATATTCAGTCTATTTAACCTACATATACGTGTATCAATATGCATAGAACATAAATCTAGTTTACTTAATATTCACTCATAGTTTCAAAGATATAAAGTATTATAAAGGGCCAGTGTTGAACCCAAATCTTTCTACATGTACAACCCAATTTAATACTTGCTCCAATGCATATCATAGTAAGGTTCTCAATCACATGAGCACACAAAGAAATAAAACCATATAACAAGCATATTTTATAAACCAAACATTAGTAACTTTTCTCTAGTATTAGTACAGTTATTTGTACAATATGTTCTTTACTTTTCAGCCAGTTTATTTACATACATACACGTAGCTATACTTTATTATGAATTTCAAACAGTCCATTATTTATAAAATCTCATTATTAACGATCTTTATTTCAATAGCAAACAGTATTAAGTAACATCAGACTGTGTGGTTGAACAAACTGGCTTGATTTAATGCTGATGGCAGAGGTAAACCAATATTTACAGCAACAACACAGAAAAAGAACACCTACCCTCTGACTTGATTGAGAACATGTTCCCTCTTTAAACATCTTAGATTTTCAGAAATAAGACTTTTACTATTGTTTTCATCTAATTGTTCCGACAACCATTCTACCACAACCTTGTCTTCTTCCCATTGGTATGACTGAAAAATAAATAACATTTTTACTAATTCTTTGTTATCGTGGGAGACAACAATTGTATTTTTATGTCAGTTTTTGATTTGTAACTATGGTTCAACCTCAGTTTAACAATAGACAGTGTTCAGTAAAAACATCAGCTAGCAGTTCCCCAGTAAGTGCTCCATATCTTTGCATTAGTTTTATTCTGTCCTGGACAATGATGGTTGTCATTTCTATATAAATTATTACAACTAAATATTTTTTTTCACCTTTACCATGTCTTAAATGGACTTGTCCACAATCAATTTGGACAAAACCATTGATCATTTAGGAAAAATTTCAAAAAAATCTACTAAATGAATAGCCAACAGTGTAGACCATTATCTGACGGTTTATTTTGGGTTGCACTAGTTGCATGGGTAGATTCACTTGCCATCAGCATGCTAAAAAGAAAACCATGTGCAGCACCCAGGAATCAACCTGCTGTTCACAAACCTAATGATGTCTGTAAAGAGCTAACTGAACAGGTAACTTGATTATGTACAAGTAATTGTAAGTAAAAAGCTTTGTTACTTCTCACAGTGACTGTACATATAATCTGGAGTCAAAGTAACATCTGAGTGGCAACATGGCTGACGTAAGACTAGTAATCTATGGATTACTGGCCACTTGGGTTCAAACCCCCATCAGGGACAAGTTGCTGTTTCTGTGAGCAAAAAACTTTGCACTCATGTTACTTTGTACTGGTTGGTTACAGGAACAGATTCAGTGTGTGAGTGTTGCAGTAAGCTAATAGCTTCTTACACAATAAAACTTAAATAAGTGTAAACTTAAGTAACATCAGATTTGAGAGTGTTTCAATAAGCTTATAGCTTCCAACACAATCAAACTACAATAAATAAGTATAACATAAAGTAACATCTTACATTTACAGTTCCTTTCTCCTCAGCAAACCATCTACTCATCATTGAACCAATCTCTCTGTCAGTTTTGTTTTCTGTTAATTGTCGTATTTTCTTCTTTAGATCTTCCTCTAGTAATCTGCGTCTAATTCTCCAGTAGAAAAATTCCCTGCTTTTCTTCCATTCTAGAACACCCTATTAAAGCAAATACTTGCAATAAATTACAGAAATATCCTATATTGTATCAATTATAATTAATTCAGACAGCTGTTATGTGTTAATTGAACAGTGATAGATAGAAATATATCACACAGAAACATAGCTTTTACAGACATTTATTTATGTCATCAATTTTTATGATATGTTTCAATATCCTTCAAATTACCATCAATTTAGTAAGAGTTAACCATTGCTGTATTTTTTTCAAAGTACTACAGTCTAGCCTTTAGTTGATAAACAGAGGATATTAAAATTTGAGCCATGTCACAACAAAACCAACATAATGGGTTTGCGACCAGCATGGATCCAGACCAGCCTGCGCATCCTCGCAGTCTGATCAGGATCCATGCTGTTCGCTATCAGTTTCTCTACTTGTTATAGGGTTTGTAAGCGAACAGCATGGATCCTGATCAGACTGCGCGGATGCGCAGGCTGGTCTGGATCCATGCTGGTCGCAAACCCATTATGTTGGTTTTGTCGTGACGCGGCTCAAATGAGTGTAGATTCAATTATACTGAATTTATTGAACAAGTTCAATGAAATTTTATTCTTCAAGGCTCTGGTGAGCATAATATATCTTTATTCGAGTTCAAAAAATTTAGTAATAAAACCTACATGAATATAATATTCTATTTATTACATACCCAAAATATAGACTGTTTAAAGTGAAAAAAAAATCAATTATCATTGATGTTCCTATAGTGTTACACTACCTTTTAGCAGGTTTTTATGCTATGTTTGTATAGTGCAATTGCTGTCAAGTCAAAATATAATGCATGGCCGTGCAATACCATTTTTATGTTGTCGCAAAAGCGGCATTGTATGTGATAAAACATCATATAATACATGTACTTTCTCATCATTCATAATCATATCAGAAATCATTCAGACTTACTGAGATCACTTCTACAGCTTCCATACGACCTGGCGTATCGTGAAGGTCAGCAAAATGAACTGCCACCTGGTGATACATTGGCAGCAATAAATCTTCACGTTTTTTCAGTTCCTCCGCAAGTTTTTTACTCTCTTCTGCCGTGATCGTAGGGTTCGCCATTTTCTCCACCAGTTGACGACATTTTTGATCTACACGCCACATGGTTTTCTGTTGATCTCTCTTACGATATTTAATCTCTACAGTTCCCTCTGGCTCTAATACACCTCCCCTATAAAACATTAGCAAACCAAATATATATAACATATGACAGTATTTATCTTCAAAATTTGACTATCTGCTACCACATAGTTTTTTACCAAAAGTCTGGTATAGAAGGGTATGCATTATAATCAATTTTACAATAATTTAGTTAGAATTTATGTTTTTTTATTGGAGTTGGCAATATATGTAAAAATTTCAGGTTCTTGGTATGTAATTAATACTGTCCTACAAACAAACTGTTTTATGAAATTTGACATGTACCAGAAGGCTTATCCAAGCATGTTGTAATTAAATTGCTAGCCCAAAGAAATATACATGTCTTTGGGGACATGAAGCATTTAAATTTTCCTTATATAAGCCAGAGAATGAATATAACTGAAAATGATGTAAATTAACCATAATTTTTTTTTGTACATCAATGTAACCAAAAGCAAATTGAGAAAACTCACTATTACCTGCTAAGTTGGTCTGCAAACATTTCCATATGACTTGGATTTATAGTTGGATCAACAACAACCCATGCTCCGCCCCTAAGTTCAGCGTATGGTGGTATATAGATCATGATTGGTTGTTTATATTCACATAGGGCGTCAACAATATACGCCCCAAACTTCAATACTTGGTCATACATGTCTACAATCAAATTAAAAGACCAATTTATTCACATAAACTTTTATATCTATACAGTATATTATATGATTAACATGTCAGTCATGTAATGAATGATACCTGAACATTTCAAATTAAACTCATATCCCACTCAAATCATGTAATGAAATTGTCTTGCTCATCCATCTTGTGTTTTTGGGCTTCCAATATCAAAATTTAGCCTATGCAAATATAGTCTTAAGTTGGATTACAAGAATTCATAGCAATTAAACACGGATTTTCATTTTTATTCACTCTGTTATAACTTGTTATATAACCGATGGCTTATATACCTTTCATTCCGCCAGAGAAACCTCTCCAGTTAGCAAAGATCATAAGTGGAAGCTCTTCTTTATTGAAGTCCATTATAGCCTGGGCTGTCTTAAAGGCGGAGTCAGGGAACCATACCTGACCTGCTTGTTGAATAAGCTTAAAGATATAAAATACTTACAGTTAAATATATTGTACCTGTATATTTTTCTTTTCTTATTGATATTTAAATATCATTTTATATATATCTAATTGGCATACCTTGTTGATGATGCATCAAATAAACATATTAAAAGCAGCAGGACTTCAAAATGAATGTAGACTACTAAATATAACATGCTCAATCAGAACCATTCCGACACATTTTTTATTCCATACTGAATGTTTTTTAGGTGCAATTCCAAGTATCAGATACCTGACATTACAAATTTCAAGAAACAATTTTCAATGAATTTACCTTTTTTTATTCTTTCTGAATTTGTATTGGTGCCTTGTTTCAAAGTAATATTGCAGATAACCAGGGAAGGGAAGTAAAAACAAACTTTACATTGTATTGTTGGTTGTGTCCCTTTAGCAACCAATATTAAACAGAGATTCTGATAAATATGAGAAATGTATTACTAGACTTACCTTGGCTTCAGAATCAAAATTAGCGGGATCTGCAGGTATAGAAACTTCTACAGTTCTTGTTTCCACGGATACTACTCCCAAAGGTACACCACCTAGCCTGAAATAACACCATATATAAAGTCCGTAAATAGTTTCTACAAACCTACATTATTTTTTGCAAACATCTTTACAGCCCTACATTTAATACGCGCTATCTTGTAAAATTAACAGCACAGAAATGTCTATGACAATTTCATTAAAGTATGAGTTTAAAATGCATATTGCCATGTTCCAAAGAAAATTTTCAATCTTTTATATCTGAAGCTATATTTGCTATCATTAAACATTACTAGCTATTTCTAGAAGAGAAAAATATCCTAATCTACTTGCCAGCTTCATTACCTTACAATTATTGTTTCTTGTTGTTAGATTTTACATTACACTGACAATATAAATGTGAAATGATGACATTTTAGCTGTACTGAAGTAGCAAGAACTCCAGTACACCTCCTTATGTATTATTTCAGAAACTAACAGTAACCCTGGAGGACCCGTCAACCTTCTGAAAGGTAGCAAGATAGCTCTCCTGCATATCTCTGTTGAGATTCAATGGCTAGCAGTGAATGGCAGAAGTTTTGAAGTCAGCAACCTCAATCACTTAGTCATGGAGGACCCTTCAAATAATGAATATTAGAGGCGGCATGGCCAAGTGGTTAACCCATCAGACTAGTAGCCTAATGATCTCTAGCCGCATGGGATCAACCCCCTCAAGGGCAAGTCATTGTTTTCTTGAGCAAGAAACTTTACACTCATTGCTCAGTACTACAGTTGGTAGTTGGTTCAGGAACGGATCGAAAGTGTAAAAGCTTATAGCTTCCTACACAATCAAACTAAAATAAATTCTGTATAAAAACCATATAATTATTATAGAGTTTCTAGCAACTAAAATGCTGAGCAAAGGTAAGAAATCACTGAATTATTCACAAACCTAGCCCTTCCAACTACTACAGTCTGTGCCCATGGTTGTAAAATTTCATTAAAGGAATCCTTGTCGAAGAAACCGGTCTGCCATTCTGATTTGTTGTCTGGGTTTGGTCGACCTGCAAGCATCCAGCGGGGATCATATGGTGTCTTTGAAGGAACAAAGTCTATACTTCTACCAATCGGATCATTGACAGGCAACACTGGTAGTGGTCCCCCATGAACCTACAAAAAAATAAATATCATTTATTAATACATTCAGTAATTTTATATACCTGTTTAAGCTGGATGAACAAAAATGATCATAACTATTTTATAATTTCTCTTTGTTGTAATGCTGGAAATTATGACGTAAAACCCAACCCCATAAAAGGACCACTGATATTTTGTAAGCTGGTTTGATAGGCTGCTCTTGTGAAAGAATCCAAAGTCCTTGGTTGGATTCAAACCCAAAGAGGTGAGGGGCAGTGGTCTGAAGTGAATGACCATAACAACTAGGCCATGAACACCCCTAACTATCCTTCTGTATGCTAGTTCAATAACTTCCAATAATATTATAATTCACTGTCCATTACAAACTTAAAAGGGGAGGGCAAGTCAAGAACAGTAACTCTTGCATGACTTAAATAACATACAATGAAGTATGAAAACTAATTAAGTTTTTTTTAGCATACCAAGGTAGTAACACAGCTTCAGTCTCATTGTATGTTAGATTTCTTTTTATGTCATAATCTTAGCCTGATAACACAATAAGGCTAAACTTTCTACAAACAAAACTTGAATATATATATTTCCTAACTTTCATCAATTTCTTTTTAGAAGTTTTTAAGGAAGATAATTTTTTTTTATGAGATTGTTCTATTTTTATCATATGATTCAGACATTAGGTATTACATCATATGTCAACAGATTTGCTGTTTCCCTTATCTTCATGACAACCCATCCTGTCTCATGAAATTTAATCTAAGCCAAACAAACAGGCAAATTTTAATCTAAATGTTATGTAATGGGATAGGCATTGAAAAATTAAACTTTGTAGATTTGAAATAGAAGATAGAAATACAGTCAAATTTTTATTAAGCAACTGTGCAAGGGAAGCACATAAAATGGTTGCTTATTTATAAATTAACAGTCTCTTAAGACAAAGTCATAGCCTGAGAAAAATGTCCAAATTTATTTATAATATCTTTCCTTTGAAAAGTAGTTTTTCAATTCCATTTTTGTAAATGTATATCTATATCTCTTTGATCATCTCAAAAGGTACTAAAATTAAAACAAAAATGATCTTGTAATATTTATTGACAAAACAGTTTTGATCCATTTTTGGCCTCATTCTATACTGGTGTATTTATTGACAAAGCAGCTAGATTTTTTTTTGCCTCATATTATTGTCTTAGTACTTAAAAAATTATGTAACCAAAAGTTTAGAATACTATAAACCTTAATGAATTAATAAATATCAACTTATGTCAGGGTATTATTTAATAAACTCAAGTCACTCTCGGCTTCTTTAGAGAGTTTTTATAATACCTATTAATTTTTAATTAAACAACAATGAAGCTTACACAAATCTTCCATACATAACATATAAAAATACAGTAAACATTTGAACAAGAGCCATGTCAACATGGCCATCCCCCGCCGAATGTGTTTGCTCATTGGAAGAATGTATATGTAGTAGAGCGGAATAATTCCATTTTAAGAGGTCTTTTGGTAATGAAAACTGATGGCTATAGTGATTACAGATTTTAAACCTATGTGAATACTGATGGCTGAAAATAACAAAGGGCAATTACTGAAAAATAATGCAGGGTAGGTTATCATTCTTGTGTGCTGCATCCCTCCTCAGTAAAATCTATCCACCTATGAAGTTTCAAGTTGATACCTCAAATACTTTTTGAGAAAAAAATTGAATTGAAAAAATTAAGTATGAAAAGAACAAAGGGCAATAACTCAAAAATTATAAAAGGTAGAGTTATCATTCTTGTGCACTGCACACCTCCTGAGTGAGATCTATGCACCTATGAAGTTTCATGTTAATATCTCATAGGCTTTTGGAGTTATGCTCTGGACAAAAATCAATTTTGAAAAATAACAAAGGGCAATAACTCAAAAATTATGAAAGGTAGAGTTATCATTCTTGTGCACTGCACACCTCCTGAGTGAGATCTATGCACCTATGAAGTTTCATGTTAATATCTCATAGGCTTTTGGAGTTATGCTCTGGACAAAAATCAATTTTGAAAAATAACAAAGGGCAATAACTCAAAAATCATGCAAGGTAGAGTTATCATTCTTGTGCACTGCACTCCTCCTCAATGAGGTCTATCCACCTATGAAGTTTCAAGTTGATAACTCAAATACTTTTAGAGATATGCTCCGGACAAAAATGTCGGACGGAAGGACGGACGGAAGGACGGAAGGTCGGACGGACGGAGACTATTTCTATATCCTCCGCCGAAATTTTTCGGCGGGGGATAAAAATATATTGTAGCAGAACAGAACAGAACGGATAATGTAGCATCAGAGTAATAAGCTGATTTCCTTGGTAATTGATGATTAGTTTTTATAACTTATTCCAATTCAAAAGACATCCAAGTAATTTTTTTTTAGTACATACATTCTCATGATGAGGTATCAAAACTTTTATATAACTAGTATCCTCATAAAATGAAGAAGCAAGTTTTTAGAATGAAGATTTGAGATAATCGTAGTGTATTTTAAGCCCCACAAGGTGATCATACCCTACTTACACCTTACAGTTTCACCTTCATCCTGGTACCTAATACTGATAACAACTTGTTTCATTCATACATTAACAAAATATCAACATACGGGTACAACAGTACAACGTCAAGTGTGATAGTTTTACTTGATTACAGTAATTACCTGAGAAAAAAACTACACATTAAATAAAACTTTGTGGATAAAAAAAAAAAATTTTTTTTTTTTTGTGAAATAGATAAAATTCAAGTTATATATGAACACACTTGAAAATTATGGTTACTATTAAATATCTATAGTGATAGACACGAGTCAAATCAATAAAGGTAGAAAGTAAAAAAGAAAGTTAAGAAGTAAAAAGAATGGAATATTAAAATTGAAAAAGTATGTGAATAAAATAAAAACTGAGGAATAAAAAAAATATGTACTGATTATAACAGAACTTTATGAATAGAAGGAAAAGAAAATCCAGAAAGCTTTTAACTGGAAATTAAATAAATAAATTGAAAAGTGTTTAAGACTTAAATGAAAAAAAAACAACTGAAAATGAAGTAGAAAATATATTGAAATGGAAATTAAAGTTTATATTCAATTGTTTATATTGTCAGTATTAATGTATTTGACACATGGATTAGACAGTCACCATTACAAATGTAATCTGTTTGATTTACAGGATGATTATAAACATATCAATGTGTCTAACCCATTACAGAGGGAAATTCAGCTAGTAATACCAGACAAGAGGGAATGCTGGGTAAACATGCTCGACATGTACAACAAATATATCATCACATTGAAGGTCAAACTGTTACTAAAAGAAAACACTAGGGTACTGATTTTAGTAAAATTATCTTGTGTGTTCCCGATCATCCTCCATTTCCAAGATTTCAATGTCTCAGATAATTATAGCAAAGGACTGGATCTATATCTGCAATTTCACAAGTGTTCTTTATTCATAAAGGAGGTCGATGTTTTTCTTACTATTGGAAGGATAATTTTGTTAGATTTTATAAGAAGTTCTATGATAACAGAGCTTGGAACAGAATGTAAGTTTGCCTCTGACTTACAGGAGATCAATCTACAGGTAACTTGTGATGACACTATTACACTAGACTTATCATTCTGGGAGCATGCACCGAGACATTTCCCGAGATGGCTGTACTTAAAATTATAGGTTGTGATAATAGATATCAAAGTATAAACGCAAGCAGTGTGCGAGAAAAATTTCCTAGGCTTGTTAATCTTGTCTTAAACTTTGTACAAATTGATCAACCAATTTATTTTCCATGGTATAACATGTATAAAGCTACACAATCTCGCAATAGAAACTGGGAAGATATTCTAAAAGCAAGTTTTGATTCGTATGATGACATATATTTCTACAACTTCTTTCCAGAAAACTCTTTTATATTAATCAACTGTAGGCTAGAAATTGGCTCTTTATTCCTGGAAGGCTTCATTTTTACCCTGGGACTAACAGAGATGGGTCTAACTGTAATTCAGCCCAACTTTCTGCAAAACGTAACCTTAAAACAAACTTTAAATCTGTCTAAAAATAGATTAGAAATGATTCCTGCCAGCCTGCTAGTAAATCAACATATGTTACAGGTACTGTATCTTCAGCAAAATGAGATAACATCAATATCAAAATCTATGTTCTCTGGGCTCAAGAGTGTTACATACATCAATTTATCTGGTAACAAAATTAAAGAAATAGTAGGAACTCCTTTTTCTACACTGAAACATCTTAAATACATTCTTTTGCAAAATAACTCATTAGTGGACATACCTTCTGATATGTTCCATGATCAGACCAATTCATTAAAAATATTAGAATTAAATTTAAACCCTGGAATAACAGAAATCCCTGTTTGGCCAATTTATGCTACAAATCTTAAAGCAATGGATTTAAAGGATTGCAACATTACTGGGATGAGTATAATACGACTTCTAGATCGTTTACAGGAGCTCGATATCAAAGAAAAACTTGTTGATGCTGCAATAGACACACCGGATTTACCTTTAGGTAGCAGTACAGCAATTTATCTAAACTACAATAAGATCGAGACCATTCCAACAAATAAAATGTCAACTACGCGACTGATGAAACTGAAGAATTTTTTAAAAAATTTTGCAATAAATTTTAGTGGTAATCCATTTACATGTAATTGTGACACCTCCGTGATTGAACAAATAGTTCAAGGTTTTGATGACACTGATTCGCTACTTCTCGACAACATGGATGGCTGGATTTGTCAAAAGCCCTCGGAATTTCGAGGACGATATATGTGGACAATCAAAAACCATGAGAAATATTGTCCTATAAATAATCCATTCTGTCCGGACTTATGCTCATGTTTTAAAAGATATCGTCAAGAAACAATAATTATAGATTGTCGTGACACTGTTTTAGAACAGATGCCTACACACCTGCCAAGCTCTCAACTTGAATTGTGGTTTCCAAATTCAAATATCTCAGAAATCGGTTTATTACCCTACCTAGAAAATATAACTGTTTTAAATTTAGAAAACAACAAACTGCAAGTCATCTGGCCTTCCATCTTGAACAAATTTAAGGGTCTGAAGATTTTGAAACTTAGGTCAAATCATCTTGTATCTCTTCCATTTCAAGTAAGATCACTAACTCTATCCAAATTGACATTATCAGAAAATCTATATGTGTGTGACTGCACAAACAGCTGGATGAAGGCTTGGATACTACAGGATGAAGGCAGTATTCTCGACTGGGCAAATATTAAATGTCTCGATATAAACAGCAACTTAAAACAGCTTATTGCAGTTCCTGACTCAGAATTTATCTGCAAGGGGGACAACTCTTTCAGTGTTATAGAACATGTCTTTCTACCATCTATTATAACAGGATCAATTTTGTTTGTTTTTGTAACTGTGTTATTATTAGTTTATTTCCAAAGATTTAACCTTAAGGTTCAACTGTTCATTCATTTCAATATTCATCCATTCGACAACAAGATAGACAAAGAAGAATGTCATGTTTACAATGCTGTTTTAATATACACACAAAGTGACCTTGAACTCAAGGTCAAAATAGAAAACCACCTTTCACACAGAGGTTATAAAGTTGCTGACATGTATAAAGATTCCATAGTAGGATATACCTATATTGAAAATATTGAGCAGTTAATACGAAAATCTAATAAAATTCTTCTTCTCATATCAACAGATAATGTGCACCATGACATCATTCAAGCATCTTGGAATATAGGCTATGATAAAATAATGTCTACAGCTCTGACAAGAATGATTATCGTAGCTGATAAAGCTATTAAAAAAGAACCAAACACAGACATTAACTTGTTGCATTTTCTTAACAGTCGTAACTTCATAGACAGAAAAACTAAACTGCTACCTCAAAAGGTGGAATATCTGATGGCAAAGACTAAAGCTGGCATATGTGTACCACCACATATTGAAATGAATCACCGTTGCTATAGTAACAGATTAGACAACAGTGACACACATTCTGATAAAGTAATTATTTCATATCCAGACAAACATCATTGTTATGTGCAAAATGAAATTATTCCTTTCCTGTCAGAACACTATGTACCAGTAAAACTATTAGACATGGAGTTTACGCCGGGGGCTGACATTCGTGACGAGCTTCCCACCATTCTAGAGACATCCTGTCATCTGATTTTCATTTTATCGAGCGAAACTCTCGATGATGAAGTTCAAATGTATATTTTGTCACAAGCTTTAACTAGGACACAACTGGAGAATCACAATTTTCTGATTGTTTGTACATCAGGACCGATTCATTTGGAACATTTGTCAAATGACTTGTTGAGATACATAGAAAACTATGTAACGATAAGTGTGAATGACTTGAGATTTAAAGAACGTATTTTACAGTCTATTTGTATTATCAATGATAGGGTCAGTGTTGATGAAGATCAAGTTGAAAATGATCCACTTTTGTAAAGTATATAATAATATTATTGTATACACATGTACACTTTATACTGCAAATCACTCATTTTTGTGAGCTTATAGCATGTTACTTCCAACTTCTTCTCATGAAGTAAAGGTGTACAAAACTAATCCACTGCCTACTGAACTAATTGGCCGTATTTCCAAGGTTCTTAAAACTAATACACTTTATATACCAATCACTTTGTGAACTTCCAGTTCAATTGAGAAATGTAATATTTTAAAATGTAACTTACTGCAGGGACATAGGCCAATGTCTCTAGCACTTTACAGATGCCACCAAAATCATCCGGGGCAGTACAGTGTGATACACCATTATTGTGCATGATTTGTATACCTCCCAGCTGATTGTTACTTGTATACACCTCACGTCCCAACACCTGAAATAATCATACATTGTTACTTGTATACACCTCACGTCCCAACACCTGAAATAATCATACATTGTTACTTGTATACACCTCACGTCCCAACACCTGAAATATCATACATTGTTACTTGTATATACCTCACGTCCCAACACCTGAAATAATCATACATTGTTACTTGTATATACCTCACGTCCCAACACCTGAAATAATCATACATTGTATCCATCAAACCATGTCTCTTACTGAATAATTCAATTGTACAATTACATAATTATACACAATATAATAAATATTATACTTATCAATACACAATAAAAGAATGGTTGGATCAAATGAAATGAAAAACAGGTGTTGATATTCATTTTTTTTTTTTGCTATCAGGGGTTAAGATTAATAAATAGGTAAATGGCTACAGTTTCATGTAAAGTATTCACAAATAATATTTCATTTAGTCAGCTTAATAAATCTCCCCTAAAAATTTACAATACCTTTAACCCTTATAATAAAATTGACACACTTTTAATTAATTTTTACTGATTTCTGCTGTGTTTTGTCATGCATTCTCATTCAAAACATCATCATATTATTATATCACAATATTTAAGTATAAACATAACTTTGCAAATTTTCTGTAACATTGTCATTTTTTATCACAAAAATGTGCAAATGTTATTGTGCCTGTAGCATTCATGTTCATTTTATCTATGGTTGTATTTTTTGCTGAAATATTCTTTCATTTTTATATATACTGTTCACACTCAGTCAAATAAACTTTGTTAGAATATCATTGCATGTAATTTGTCACCAATCTACTGAAAAGCATGTATACCCGTACATAGTGTATATACCATGTCTTTTACCTGATCTTTTGATTATGTTTATATTTTAGCATGCAATGATTTAATGTCTGTATGTTTACTTATTGTATTTAAAATACTGTTCTTGCCATTGTAAAATAGACAAATTTGCTGGTTGTTAATTAAAACTAAAACTGACAGCAAATACTCTGTTCTAAAAGGTTAAAACATTCCATATATTGTTTCCTAATGCTAGGCACTTGCTCCTGCTTTCTTAAAGGCCCATTTAGCCTAAAAATGGTAATATTTTCATTTTTCAAAAGCTTTTCTTTTTTGATGCCCAGTTACAGCTCCCAAAATGTTACTCATTGGCCATATACCCGAGCCGTCTTTATATTCCTTTTCATTTAATGCAGTTATAATGATTTAGAATATTGTATTGAAATCAAAACACCGCTTTTAAGCAACTAAAACGTTCTAAATCCATAATTACAACATTATAAAATACATATTTTCCCTTTCTATAGAAAGAAACAAGAGGGCCATGATGGCCCTGAAAATCGCTCACCTGTATATAGGCCCCTGGGCCAAGGCCAATTTTAAACCAGGGGCTTTTTATTTGAACAAACATGGTAGACACCCATTAGAAGATGTTTCATGATGAATATATAAGCTCTTGCTCTTTGGGGTTTTTATAAGAAGATTTTTAAGTTTTTACTATATACATATAGGGAAAAACAATGACCCCCTCCCCCAATAGGAGGGGCCAATTTCGATCCCAGGGCTTTTATTTGAACAAACTTGGCAGACACTCACTAGAAGATATTTCATGCTTTGTATCTAAACTCTAGCTCTTTGGGTTTTTTTATAAAAAGATTTTTTAAATTTTTACTATACACATATAAGGAAATTCAATGACCCCCGGGACAGTGCCCATTTTAACCTAAGGGCCTTATTTGAACAAACTTGGTAAATGCCCATTAGAAGATGTTTCATGCTAAATATCTTAGCTCTAGCTCTTTGGGATTTTTAAAAGAAGATTTTTCAAAGTTTTTACTATATACATAAAGAGAAAAACAATGACCCCTGGGGCAAGGCTAATTTTTACCCCAGGCCTTTTATTTGAACAAACTTGGTAGACACCCACTAGAAGAAGTTTCATGGTTAATATCTAAGCTCTAGCTATTTTGTTTTTTTTAAAGGGGATTTTTTATGTTTTTACTATATATAAATAAGGAAAATCAATGACCTCGGGGGCCGGCCAATTTTGACCCCAGGGTATTTATTTGAACAAACTTGGTAGACACTGACTAGATGATGAATTAAATTCTTTGAACAATTTGGATGAAATTGGCTTAGCTGTCATTTAAAGTAAAAGTTTACGGACGGACACCGGACGTAAAGCGATCACAAAAGCTAACCATGTCACTTTGTGACAGGTGAGCTAAAATATATTGATTTCCCGCGCATAATGTGCCTTTAAATAAAAAGACAACACACAAGAGACATATTTACCTTGTTAAGAGCACCAGCTCCTGTGAGGATGATATGGGAGTTTTCCACCTGAACAATTCTCTGACCAAGTCTGACGAGATATGCTCCTATACCTATAGCTCTACAGGTTACCTGTATAACAAAAAATTAATAATTAAAAATACAAAAACAAAACCAGCAATCTATAGTCTGCTTAGTTACGAGCTCATTTTCTTCTCATTTTTAACTTGAATACCTAAAGAGAGTAACAGTAACATTTAAAAAGAATAATAAGATTTGAAAAGAATAAGTGGACTTCTGGCTACTCTAAAACTATAAATCTCATTCATTTTAATATCTAAGTGTAGGTTTTAATAAAGCAACATTTTATAGCAACATCATCTCAACTTGTGTTATAATTCATTGAGTTAATCCGAGTATGTGGAGTGTGATCTTGATCTATACTGCAAAATCATAATTATTCATTGGACACTAATTTTCATGGATAGGTCAATCTATGAATTTAAGATCCAATGAAATTTCATTTTGTCTGCTGTTAAATTATTTTGCATCACATTATTTACATTTTATCCTTTGGCATTTACATTTTATCCTTTGGCAAACATAAACAGTACATGAATTTAAGAAGGCATGAAAATGGCATTTATGATAAACTTTTAATCACTTTTGGTTTAGAAGGTAAAGGGTTAAAATCTTAGAAAACCAACCAGATTAATAGTGACAATATCTTTATAGGCTTTAGATGATTCTCCAGCTATCATTCCTGAACCACGAAGATTCTCTACCCCAAGTCCTTCCTCCTTGCCGATAATATCTGTGATCTTATAACGTGACTCGCCCTGATCCTCAATTAAGGTCGCCCGCACTGAGTTAGATGCCGATACTTTCTTAAAGTCATCAGGTCTCAGGTACAAATACTTAAATCCCTAAAATATACAACAATTTCTTTTGGTTTAAACATATTTATTTAAGCTTGATTGCAAAACAAGTTCTTGCAACTTATATAAATCACTTCTGAGTCCACTTCCTGGAACCAACCAGTACTGGTGTCATATGAAGAAATATGATCGTGACCTGATAAGGGCTCGAAGCCATGATACCAGGGTTGAGAAGCAGACACCTTAAGACCCGGAACAAAATGTCTTAAACAATAAAAGTATGTCATATGCAAATATTTCTAACAAGTTCATATTTCAATCTGGACAAAAACATTCATCTTTTTTTAGAATGAAATTTCAAAATATATACCACTCTACCACTGCCCTTCTCATTAATTTTATTGTTAGAAAACTTAGCTATCTTCTTGAATTATATTACATGTGTTATATAGCACAGGTGAGCTTACAATACCTTATCTGGATCTTTTGGATCTTGCCAGGCCACTCTAAATAAATGCTTCACTTCCTCTGCCAGTCCAATCCTTGCTCCACTGTTGGCCGAGATATACACACGAGGTAAACCTTTAGCTCTTGCCAGCTCCGATACTTTCTGGAAATAATAAATTATCAAGTACCTTTAACATATAATAACCCTATAGCATGTTCATACTCACTGCTAATTAAATTAAAACTTGTTTCTCACATTACTTATTTCATTTATTTAAAAAGTTGCTATTAATTTTTCAATACATTGCTTCAGAATTTTTACTTTAACATGACTTTATATAATTATTTGAAACAGAAATTATAGTATCTATATTTTTATTTAAATAAAACCCTGGAATTTCTGTATGCAAGCTGGATAATTTCCTTACAGGAAACAAACATGACTCTAGCCCACAGTGGTATGGGACAAGTGGTTTGAAGTTTGCCCCAATATAAATCAGGTATCAAACTTCATACAATCTACTCCACTTATAACGAGATCGGTTTTAACGAGATACCGCTTACAACGTACATTCTACTGTGTCCCGGCCTTTTTCCTCCTATTTTCCTTTCATTTTTTATCGTTTATAACGAGATCGGTTTTAGCGAGATATCGGTTACAACGTACATAATTTAGCCGTCCCATGCGTATTTTTCAGAATTTTAACGAGGTCACTTCGTTTGCACTTCGTCTGCATCAGTTTGTCACCTTGAGAAAAACAATGATGACCAATAATAAAGGTCAATTAAAGAAGAAATTATTGACGCGGGACGAGATAATTGGTCGAGCAATCAGCAATCAAATGTGTCAGCCTTGTTTTGTCAGCGCTCCGGGCTAAATTGTCATAACTGAGTGATTAGCACAAAGGAAGCGGCTAATTTCTTGCGGTGTTATTCGGTGTTCGTGAGAAATGCACTGTGTGACTTTTGAAAACGAATTTTAAAATGTACATATTAATAAAAAAAACACACGCGGTTAGACGTAGGTTGTGTTTTCTTGTTTTGTTTAATTTCTATGATAGCTAGATATATTTATATACATGTATATTTAAATAAAACAAAAACTTCTGATTGCAAAGAGTTACCTCCCATTATATACTCTTCAAAAAGGATGCACGCGAAAGCGAAAGTAGAAATAAATGATGCTCGACGGTGTCGGATTTCTCAATTTGTTCTGTCCCGGTTATAACGAGACCCGGTTATAACGAGGAATCATCCGAAGTCCCAACGATCTCGTTGTATCCGGAGTGCACTGTATTTAAAGGACAGCTATACCAGTGTACTAGACAAATACATGGTACTGTGAGAGAGATGGGTACATCTGTCTTGTATTAAAAAATAAAGTAAAAATATTTTATAAGAACAATTACCTTAAACAGTAAGTCTTCAAGGAAGCCAAACGATCCTATTCTAAATGTGATGTCATTAGCGATCACTATGATGCCTCGTCCTTTTGGGAATTCTGGTGATTTTAACGTCATATGCCAGGCAACCATTCCAATCTGAAAATTAACAAAAGATTAATACCAATTTTGAATTTTTTTAAAACTGACAAATGTATTTATTTATAAACATAAACACCAACAATTTGACATTTTATCATTTCTAAGCTCCCAGAAATTTGTCGGTGGAGAATAAAGTTGTTCTCCTTGTATCCTCTTTAGTTTTTCCTTAAATGAGCCGCAACAAGTAGAGAAACTGATAGCGAACACCATGGATCCTGATCAGACTGCGCAGATACGCAGGCTGGTCTGGATCCTTGCTGGTCGCAAACCCATTATGTTGGTTTTGTCATGAAGCGGCTCAAATACTCTTGTTGGTTCTTATATTGTTTTAGTTGTAAAAATAATGTCAGGAAAAGAAATCCTAATTTACCTCATTTTCACCTGGCAGTCTATTTTGTTCATGTATGTGACCATCTCTACCACTTTTATCTACAGCAAGGACAATTTCCTTGTATGTTATACAATCTTCTGGTATCACATCTTCTGTTAAACCATACTGATCTGCATACGCCTTCCATAACTTCTTCAATGCCTGATAGAGAATAAATTATTTCAAAATTTCAGTCATCAATTTTCATAAATTTTATTTCTGAGGGTAAGGAAAAACAGAAGGCCAAAACTGATTAGAAGAAAAAACAAACAGGGAAGAAGGACAAACAAAATTTCATCCAAAGAAATTATATAGATTCTGGAGGCCTTCAATTATCATATAAAATGTTTTGACCTTCATCTCTTTGCTAGGAAACTACTTCGTTTTGTTGTTTTTCAAGTCATACCAACAATGAGTGCAGTTTTTCTGGGCTGAGGAAGACCTCAGGTGCCCCTTCATACACTGTTTAAGGCATAAGCAGGCAACTGAATATAAACTTCAATTAGCTAGCTGAATAGCTTCCTTACAATGAAAGAGTCCAAAAATCCCTGCAGTGATTAAAGCAATGTGGCCATGCATGTCACATACAGAAATTATAATTCAAAATTTTAAAACACAATTTTGTTAATGAACACAACTATACCTGTTTGAACATTTCTGGAAAGTCATACACATAGGTAGTACCATTGGACTGAGCTTGGTAACGTTTCAGCTGTAGATGATCTTTTGTAACATAAGCAGACGACACTAGAAGTCCGTCTGCTGGTCCCTTCTTAGAACCATAAGCTTGCAACATGATCTATGGTGGAAACATTTTACAGTAAGTTAGTCTTGGAAACAGTTTATTAAACACTGTATTTGTTTTTTTTTATGAAAAATAAAGTACTTTAAGATGCTGGATACAAAAGTGAAATTTCATGAAACACTTTGTCAGCTTTCATTTATTAAAAGGAAATAAATTCATAATTTTTTTTATGTATCAAATATATTTGACAGTTGAGGTTCTCAAATGAAAATAATGATATCTTTTAGTTACTCAATTTAATATTTTCAACTAAAATGTTCAAGGACAGGTTTGCCTATTTCTTAGGTGACATAGGTAAGTCACCACTGCTGCTTGGATACATAGAATTAAAATAAGGCTATTTATAGAATGTACAATGAACTTACAAGGCCAGTTCTTGGATCTGTGACCTCTCTGTAAAGGTTAATACTGAGGTAGTAACCACTCTCATTGGTCAGGTATAGACGTATTGGGAAACTCTGACCTCCAACCCTAAAACACAGAAAAACAATGAAGGAAATGATATAAATCTTATTTTGTATGTAACAGAAATCAACTAATTTAATGTCTTGAAATAAGCTAAAGGTAAAATTGTTGAAACAAGATACTACATGTAGTTGGAAGTTTTTGCTCTCACAGCATATCCTATGTTTGTTGAGGTACATATGGGAGATCGTTTTGGCGAATGTGTGGCCTCGTTAAATAAAGCCTTTTTTATTATTATTACTATTATTATGGCCTTAGGTTTAAATACCTGCCTCAGTTTTCTTATCATTAAAGCTTAAGCCTGTGTAAATACATAACTAAACATTTTCCAGGAGGACAAGGCCTGTTCAATGACAGTAAAGATTTTAATGTAGAATTTAATAAAAAAGAAAGCATTTAATGAAGACCATTATAGAAGAAGCATTAAAAATTTATCTTTCTTTAACTACTATATAATGCATATAGCCAGAATCTCATCAATAAAAGTTCTCCACTAATATATACATAATATAAATAATAATATAAATTATAATATATAAATTCAGCAAAATGGTATAATTTCCTTACACACCCATTAAATACTATTGTTGCTGACTAGCCAATACCCAAATCAATTTGAGCATCAAATCACATCACATCACAGAATGTAAGTAAAAACTTCACTTCTACACTAGCATTAACATCCTTGTTCTATCACTAGCCAAAAATTGTTACTTTTTTACATATGACATTTTATCTTTATTAAATGAATAATTGAAATTTAACATTAGACTTTGGTGTTCATACACCCAAGCTAGACCTTGGTGTCCATACAAACCATTTATAACTATTAAAACAAACATTTTTACTCTATATTTTCCTTTTTTCTATTCCTGTTGTTACACGGTGACCCACTACATTAGCACACAATAGTTAATTAATACATGTATTGAAAAATGTTATTTAATGCTTAGCCTGCTAGTGGCAACAAATTCTATCCATATGACCAGTGCAGAAATAGAACAGCCGACACATCCATGCCACAGCACTGTTTACATTCACTCAGTAAAATTTTTGAAATATATCCTAAATATGATATATGTTTTTATCCAAATTGAAATATGTACAAGTCCATTTAACATACCATATTTATAGCATGGTAAGTGTTAATTTTTATACTTATTTATTATATTACATGTATAATCACACATAGTATGTACTACATAAAATGTCAGCAAACTACATGTCATAGGTAAACATGTTTAGCATTCATTGTCACAGCAAAAAATACACAATCATTTATGTTATAATCACATTAATTAAAAACAAGAACCGGTTGAACCGGGTGATGCTCCCCGAGAAGGTTCTGGACACAGGAAAGTGTAAAAAAAATGAACAAAGGGCAATAATTCCAAAATTAGACCAGGCTTTGTTTAGGTTCTTTAAGCATTGCAGTTCTATCCAATTATATCTAGCTACCTACAAAGTTTCATGTTGATATCTCTAATAGTTTTAAAGTAATGTCCAGGACAAAAGTCAAAAAGAAAAAATAAACAAAGGGCAATTACTTCAAAATAAGGCAAGGCAGAGTAATGATTCTTAAGCACTGCACTTCCACCCAATGAGACCTATCTATCTACAAAGTTTCATGTTGATATCTCTTATAATTTTAGAGTAATGTCCCAGACAAAGTTCAAAGTGTCAAAATGAACAAAGGGCAATAACTCCAAAAGTAGGCAAGACAGTGTTACAGTTCTTGTGCACTGCAAACTTACTCAATGAGATCTATCTACCTACAAAGTTTCATGTTGATATCTCTTATACATTAAGAGTTATGTCCCGGACAAGTTCAAAGTGTAAAAATAAACAAAGGGGGATAATTCAAAAATTAGGCAAGGCAGAGTTAAGGTTCTTGTTCACTGCACACCTACTCAATGAGATCTATCTACCTTCAAAGTTTCATGTTGATACCTCTTATACTTTTAGAGTTATGTCCCAGACAAATTTCAAAGTGTAAAATAAACAAAGGGGGATAATTCAAAAATTAGGCAAGGCAGAGTTACGGTTCTTGTGCACTGCACACCTACTCAATGAGATCTATCTACCTACAAAGTTTCATGTTGATATCTCTTATACATTAAGAGTTATGTCCCAGACAAATTTCAAAGTGTAAAATAAACAAAGGGGGGTAATTCAAAAATTAGGCAAGGCAGAGTTACGGTTCTTGCTCACTGCACACCTACTCAATGAGATCTATCTAACTACAAAGTTTCATGTTGATACCTCTTATACTTTTCGAGTTATGTCCCAGACAAATTTCAAAGTGTAAAATAAACAAAGGGGGATAATTCAAAAATTAGGCAAGGCAGAGTTACGGTTCTTGTGCACTGCACACCTACTCAATGAGATCTATCTACCTACAAAGTTTCATGTTGATACCTCTTATACTTTTAGAGTTATGTCCCAGACAAAGTTCAAAGTGTAAAATAAACAAAGGGGGATAATTCAATAATTAGACAAGGCAGAGTTACGGTTCTTGTGCACTGCACTTTTACTCAATGAGATCTATCTACCTACAAAGTTTCATGTTGATATCTCTTATACATTAAGAGTTATGTCCCGGACAAATTTCAAAGTGTAAAATAAACAAAGGGGGGTAATTCAAAAATTAGGCAAGGCAGAGTTACGGTTCTTTCTACTCAATGAGATCTATCTACCTACAAAGTTTCATGTTGATACCTCTTATACTTTTAGAGTTATGTCCCGGACAAAGTTCAAAGTGTAAAATAAACAAAGGGGGATAATTCAAAAATTAGGCAAGGCAGAGTTACGGTTCTTGTGCACTGCACTTCTACTCAATGAGATCTATCTACCCACAAAGTTTCATGTTGATACCTCTTATACTGTTAGAGTTATGTCCCGGACAAAGTTCAAAGTGTAAAAATAAACAAAGGGGAATAATTCAAAAATTAGGCAAGGCAGAGTTACGGTTCTTGTGCACTGCACACCTACTCAATGAGATCTATCTACCTACAAAGTTTCATGTTGATACCTCTTGTTGTTTCAAAGTTATGTCCCGGACAAGAAAAGGGGACGGACGGACGGACGGAAAGACGGACGGACGGACGGACAAGGCGGCGACTATATGCTCCCCCGAAATTTTTTCGGGGAGCATAAAAATGTAGCTTATTAAACAAGAACCGGTTGAACCCGTTCATGCTCCCCAAGTAGGTTTTGGACACAGAAAAGTATAGCTCTTGAAGTGCCAGAGTTATGTCCCTGACAAAAAGTCAAGTGTTAAAACTATTAGATTACCAAACTTCTCCCAGACTAATATTACTTAATTTTCTTTCACATGGAACTTTACTATGGTCTCATATATTGATGCTTGATATCTTTAATGCATAAAACTGTGGTTAACTTCTATACTTGTAAATTGCTGTATATAACATAACATTAATTTCCATAACATTTACTTGTAATAAAAAAATAGCTGAAAGGTTACAAATTGAAACCAAAAGTAACCAAGGATGGCAGCAAATAAATTGATGTACAAATAACTATTCAACCTTTACTACCTGAATACTTTGGTACGAAAAATAAATTTAGGTTTTGCAATCCTAAAAACAGTTTAAAAAAATATGGGAATTATATCCGAGTATGTGTTATAACACATGATGTAATAGCCCACAGTTGACTGCAACACTGATTTCAATATCTATTACAATCTGAGTCTATAAATTATGAATATGTGCCGAATCAGAGAGGAGGTCGTCATGACCCCTTCTGGTAAAAAATCCTAAAACTTTTTAATATTAAAGTACAAAGGAAAATTGTACTTAAATTCAAAACTGCAGGTTATATTTGAATAACTACTTTTTTATGAATAAATATAAGTAACTATTGACAAATTAAAGAACATTTTGATGACTTAAGCATATGCAATTCTTTTTTCTTTAATAGTCCAAAGTCCAGGTTAGCCTTTCTTTATGTAAACAATCAAAAATGAAACAATTCATTTTAAGCTGCGATTCTTTTTTCTTAAAATCTACTTTTATGAAAGTCATACCCAATGCATATAAATTAATGAATTAAATTTATTGATCATCTGTAAATTACAGACTGTTTGTGAAGCAGACAAAAACCAAGACCTTTTAAATAGTAAATTTAGTTCAATAAGTAACATCAGTGTTACATTCAACCCATTAAATCATAATCAAACATTTGATACAATTTTAAATAAGCTTTATTACCCATCCTTGCTCCTATATTCTAACGGATTTCTGAAAATTTTGCAACATGTCTGGTGAGATGTGACATCATTGAACATAAATATATTTGCTTTGTTGAATTTTTTTGTTAAGTTAACACTCAAACTTTAACTTTAATGGTGTCTGTTACAGACAAGAACAAGAGTTTAATGATTTTTGAAAATACATCTTTAAACATTTTTCACAAAATATAATTGTCACAAATGCTCAGTCTCATAAATTCATTATAGTGAGAATTTACAATAAAATCCTCCCCAATCCATGAAGACCAAATGGCCAATACTCACTTTCTTTTTTTTTTTTATCTGACCTTTGACCTCTAAATGTGACCTTTAACCTTGGCCACAGGGACTGAATTTTATGCTCATAAGGTTGAACATTTGTGCTAGGATATATACAGTCCCTCATTGCATGTGCAAGTTTTAAGAAATTTATTCCAAGTGTGACCTTGCCTTTGACCTACAGACCTGTGTTCAACACTCTCGTTTCAACACTTGTGTTGAGTAATACTAGAATCTCTATATACATGCAGAGGATATGCTCTGGACAAAATTTTCATATTCAAGCATCTCTGTTGACCTTAACCTTGCATTTATTGAACTTAAATTATGCTGGCAATACTTAGTATTATGATTATGAACATTTATGATATAAAACCTAAATTCAAGACACATTTTTTTAAATCAGACTTTTGATCTCTATGTGTGTTTATATTTTGTCCTGGAGCATTATTTAGGTATTCTTATCTTAACTGGAATAGGTTTTTGATGCAATTTTTTACTAACACTAACAATAAAATGTAAGGGAGATAACAAGACGGACACATACCTGATAGAGAATTTCAGTTCAGCTCCTAGAACTCGCAATTTTAGCAGACGTAGGCCGTACCTCATCACCATGTTGTGAACAGTCTCCTCAAGCTAGGAAGAAAAATTATAATTATTGTATCTACAACCACAATATTTTTCCTACTTATTTAGTGAAAATGAATTTGACCCACTTTGAAATCAAATAAGCTTGATCTCAAAAATACAAATCTCTAGACATAGTATGCCACTGTGAAATTATAAGATTGTTTACTTGTTTTATGTTTTAGCATGATATAAGTAGAGGTATTTCATCAACCCAATGATAATTATTCTCTCATTGCTGATTCAAAGATTGTGTGGGATAATGCTGTCACTTGCAGAGAAATGGATAATTACTGACCAGTTATTTAAGAAAAAAAACTATTATGTCCAGAGAGGGTTGAGATAGATATGACCAAAAATGTGTTGAAATCAGAATAAAATCCAAGCAAATGAACAAATATTAAGTTCGTTTCTTTTTGAAAATTTGTTGACCCATAAACAGGCATTCAGTCTTATAACATACCTTTCCAGGTTCAGCCAGTGTTAGTGTGGGTACAAAGTTCAGGAAAATATGGTTGCAATCAGTCTTAGAAGCCTGAAAGTAAAATAAATATTGAATTTGGCATACCGTCAACTTAATGAAGCTATCAACATAACATCAATAGTGTTAGCAACTAGGTTCAGCAATGAATAATCTTGAAGTTAGTATCAAAGTATGTTCATTCATACCATAAATAGACACATGTAACAGTTAATATATTTTTCTAATTTTGACTTTTTTTCAGGGTTGTCTGCTAATTTATAAATTTTCATTGTTTTTTTCTAGATGGGAAAATAAATTTCATATCTGTGCTATATTTCATGGTCATTTATTATTGACAAAAATAATTTATAAAGAACAAATGAATAAATGAATGAATGAATGAATGAATGAATGAATGAATGAATGAATGAATGAATGAATGAATGAATGAATGAATGAATGTATAAACAAACATTCAATGCAAATCTCAGGTGTAAAAATTTTACTTTGATAATCAAGCAAAATATTATTACTAAAACAGTATAACCTCTTACCATTGGGTGACTAAATGCAACTTCTAGTGAGTCCATAGCTTCAAGAAGAGTTTTCTCCCCTTCATTATGCAGATATTCAAATGATGCTTCCTTGGTGACCAGGTCAGAGTGACGAATTATACATCGTACAAATAGACGGTAGTCTGATACTTCCTTTCCCTTTGCTACTTGCTGTAAAATAGAAATACATGTAAAACAGGTCACAGTGGTTTTTCTTATATATTGATTTGCTGATTCATTCAGCTAATTCAAAATTAAATTTAAAATCATTAAAAACAAATTCAATATACCACATATTTTGCTGATAGGAAAAAAAAGTAATGATATATGAAACCCACTTAACAACTAAATACAACATCTTTGTCCTTTACTTCAACAAACCAGTTTTATCTACACAATATTACAAGTTTCATCTTTAAGACAGAATTCTTATTTAGAAGAATCGTTAATAAGAAAGTTTTTAAATCCATCAATATCAAAGCAAAATCCTGACACATGACATAATCATACATGTGACAAATGAAATGGGCCAAATCTGGATTTTCAGCTGGATTTTGAGGCTCAAAACTGGATTTTTTTATCGACTTGAATTTCAAAGCGTGTTTGGCACATTTGTTTCAAAGAATCTATATTACACTCAAAATCATTAAATGGTTATACTTTTTATGATTTTTTGTGGATCAATATTAATTTATTTCACCAAAAAATAAATGAATAGATAAATAAATAAGTGTAGTCATACAGGCTATTTCAAAACAGTCACATTTTCACATTTCATTATTTTCAGTTTGAAGAATTATATCTGTCTTTTCAGTCATTCAATAATTGTCTACAAGCTATTTGAAAACGTACAACAACTATTCATGAACATAAGACTCTGACAGTTAAATAACGTAACATAAGTAGAAGACTCAAAATAAATACAAGAATCGTTCCGTTAATTAAATCCACATTTTTGCCTGGATGATTGTGTAATTCCTAAACAAAACAAAAAAATTACCCACTCACTAAAAATAGGTTAATTAGACATCTCGAACAGGTTTTTGAATGATCCACTTTAAATGATTCTGCTCACCTTTTATCTTTATCAGCGCGGCACTAATCAAAGAAAATCAAAGGTTGAGCCGAATTCATACATGTAAATTTACAGTAGTTTTGATGACGTAGCGTGTAATACCTACTGCCAAATTACAAAAGAGGTCAATTGATTGACACACGACATGTGATAAGTTAAACATGTGAGAATAACTTTGGGTATAGGATTGTTTATTACGTCACCTTGCTGTCAATTAGTGACTCAACATTTAATGCGCTATAATTTAGGATATGGACAGATAACAATCAATGCCCGCAGGCACGGTTTAGATTTTAGATACAGGTGCTGTGTTTGATTTTTTTTTTTTTTTTTTTTCTAAATATCGGGAATTCAAGCTGTAATATCGGGAATCGGGATCAGTGTTGAAATATGGGATTTTTTTAAATCCCGCCGGGATGTCACATGTATGCATAATTTTCACTGAACAAAAACATAATATCCCACAATTCAAGTTTCACAGATATACAATAAATGACTTACCTTTGCTTTACCGAGGTACACATGCATTCTATAATTAGCGGTTGGGATAGTCTCTAAATCAAAGTTCCTCATTCTGTTAATCTCTAACTGGAAAGCAAGACCTGGTTCTAGATGTCTGTAAATACGGTCCTCGTTAAACTGTAAAATACATCACAATAGACATGATAGATAAAATAGTATACAAATGAAAATAACACTATCACAGTAAAAATAACACTATCACAGTAAATATAATTATTAACAAAAAAATTTCTTGTATGTAGAACAACTATTAAAAACAAATCATATCGCCCAAGAGGTGGTGGGTTTTTATTGCAATTTACTGCATTACCAAAAGAAACATTGCCATTATAAAGTTTACTGTTTGTAGCTCTTTCAAACCCATTTCTTAAGTTAAACAGACCGGGCAAAAGTATAAAAATTCAAGATGGCCACCAAAAATGACAAAATACCATTTTTTTCTTGACTTTTTACTTTAAAACTTTGTACTATATAGTTTTAATTGCAAACTATCAGATTAATATTTTTACTGGTGGCATATGCACATCGTTTTGCATCTAGCATTAACTCTTCAAATTATCAATGTTAATTATCTACAAACAACAACATTTTGATATTTGAGTAACTGTGTGTTTTATTTGTACAGTGGAGCCTTGCTAATCCGAACCCTTCTAATCCGGAATCCTTTCTTATCCGAACGAAGTGTCCGGTCCCGATTTTATTCGTTCTATTTTCAATAGTAAAAAACCTTTCGGATCCGGAACCTGTCTACTCCGAATTCCGGACGATTTTTTCAATTTTTGTTCTTATTTTACTCTAAAATGTACCTCTCGGATCCGAACAGATTTTGCCAAATGTCACACCTTCATTCAAAATAACAAATAATCGCACATCTTGCAGGTGTAAACATACACCAAACTGATGTGTTATTTCACTTGATTGGGTGAAACGTATGATCTGCGAAGGTGTGAAAAATACACTTAGATTGCCTTCATATCTTCTATAATTGCTTAATTGATAGTTTTTCGCCACCTTCAATAAAATTTTTGATATAATGCAATAAAAATATCTTTGAATCCTTTGTAATGGATTCAATGATACGTGATTAAGCAATGAAAATTAATAGAAACTGTCAGTGAATTCGGATAGTCGCTGAATCGGATAAGAGTAAACAACAATTCACAAATGCTGGTACGAATATTTAATTATGTCTCCGCCTCATGTTTTACATCGTAGGTTAACTGACCCTTGAGGACATAATATTTTTTTGCTTATTTATTTATTTTCATTTCTTTATTTTTGTATTCACATGTATTAGAATGAACGATAAGAGACTGCAAAAATAAAATATCTAAATTGCAATTTCAAATGCATTCCCGTTTTCTTTCCCTAAACTATTTTGCAAATACATGTAACATGAAAAAACATGTAAAAGAACCTTCTAATTCGGAAACCTTTCTAATCCGGAAACCTTTCTAATCCGAACTTTTCTTCTGGTCCGGACGAGTTCGGATTAGACAGGTTCCACTGTATCACAAAAGCTTAGCTCATTCTGAATACAACTAGAAATGTGCTATGATAGGACACAAATGCCCCAACATTCCCCCTTTTAGATAGCCTGAGTGTGGGACAGACAAACAAGAACAAATATAAATGTCCCTCATTTCCCAAGTGAGAGGAAGAAGCATAAAATAATGAATCAAGTATACATAACAAAGGAATACAAACCTTAAACTTGGCTCTGAATGTGAAATACTTTGGCAATATTTTCTGCAAGAAAGAACATAACACTTAATTATAGATGAATAAAGAATACAGAAATTTTATAAAAACTTTAAGCTTGACAATGATGTTTTAAATGACTTTTTGTTCTATGTGCTTAAATATACATAAACATTGTACGTCTATTTTATTGACTTATTTTATACTATAAGAACATATATCACTTTTTAACATATACATATATTTGTTTGTTCAGTAATTGTAACATTGAATAAATAAGCCTAGAGACTTACCTTTCTTAAAACAACAAAAGTTATTCTTCTAATGCCTCTCTCAGCCATTGTATGATTCTGAAATAGAAAACTGATATCAGAAATTTTTCAACTTTCATCTGACAACAAATATACTAATAAAATTCTATCAAAATTCTGTCAATCTAAATACTATCCCTTTCTTTAGTAACAAACAATTTTGTTTTAGTAACAGGCAAATCAAGTGACTATCTGAAGAATTCATGCTTCAATCATACAAATTATCAAATTCTTTAAGTGAGCAAAGCCACTTGTATTCTTGGAAAAACAGAGATAGTAATTATTATAAACTTTGTTTATAGATTATATATACAAAGTCTGACATACCTTTTCCTTACAGAAAGCAGAAAACTGAGCGGACAAAGTTTCATCATCAGTTGTAACAGTGGTTTGTATGGCAATATTTATAATATGGATAGGTTCATTATCTGCCCCAGCATCTGATACAGTCACACTCTGTAAACATATGATACCTAGTTAATATATACCTTAATCACATATATACAGGGCTCGCGCTGGCAGGAGCCAATGAGCAAATTGGCTACAAAATTATTAAATTGGCTCAAGAAAATCATGATTGGCTCCAACTAACGAAAAGTATAACTTTTGGAATATCCAATCTAAATTAAGCATTTGCTATTTTAAGAATGGAAAAGTACACATTTGGTTTTCCATTTACAACTTCCGCTTTACCGCTTCTTATCACAAAACACTGCGACACAGTCTGCTTTTTGTGGGGTCATTGACTGGTCTATATTTGTTACTTCCCTTCCAAATAAAATATCGTTATAAACAGTAACACAGTCTAATACACTGACCCTCATGGTATGTTTACATGTTTATCAGCTGATAAATTATGACACTAATTGGTGTGAATTGTTGAATGAGCACTGGATAATTGGTCTTTATATTCGATATGAAACAATAACTAGCGGCATCTTAAAATTATCGCCAATCATATCAACAGCTTGGTTATGAAATGGACGCCTTTACGGTAAGTTTGCAATCATATAATTTTATTGTGGTTGATAAAAAGATCAAAGGAATTATAGAATAGAAGTTGTTTTTTTTTAAATTGCAAATTAAATATGACCTAATAATGGCTCCAAAAAAGTATAAATTTGACAAAGAGTATATTTGACAATTAGTATTCCTGAAAAAAAAATTGACCTTACTTTGTACATAACCTCTATGATGATGGAGCATTCATTTACAAATGGCATACATGGCTGTGAAATGTTTATGGAAAATTCAAGAAGCATACAACACATTTTTAGGAAACTTATGCTAATTACTTTACTCTTATAATGAATATTTGGCTTTTTTCCTGAATTATGTTTAGTTTAGACCTTTTCAATATTCTTTTCTTCATTAATACATGTAATTATTCTTCTTACTCTCAAATGTTTCTGTTTTTATAATTTCAGATACAGATAGTCCTCAAACCAAATCTTTGGCATTAACCAAGCAAGCTGAAACAGCACATTGGAATGTGGTTCTGATGTCACTGTCATGCCACTAACTTAGATTTTATGAAAACATTGCTGACCAAATTAGCCTGGAAAATGTTTTTCTTATAGCTACTGAGCTGCAAGCTTTTATGATCAGTTTTAAAGTGATTAAAATGTAGCTACCAAAATAAAGTTGGATATACATGTAGTTTATGTTTTTTTTCTCTAAATATCTCATGCCTTTTAAAGGTGTTCCATATATGAACTAATGCTATAAATTAGTCTGACAACTGAATTCTGGTTATTTGACAGTACCATTGCCTTCTTGAAAATAAAATACAGGCACGCAATTTTTGCCGCGAAAAATTGGCTCAAAGAAAAAATCTGCCAGTGCTAGCCCTGTATATAACATATATATTAGTAAAATCTGTCACATTCAATAATTTCTGACACAAGCTGACAAACGAATTGAAACATTGATGTTCCATAAGCTAGCTCCCTAGTTTCCTTACAACAAATAATCTATGCCTTGAATTGGTGAGGGACAAATAATTAAGCATATTATATTTCTATAATGCTCATGTAGAACTAGCTTTACACAGCAATTTACATTTTTGTATTAACATCATTATGTCTTATTCGATTATCCTAAGAATTTTAATTTATTACACAAAACTTCATACTTGACTGTCTTCTAAATTAACTGAGGGAGGACACTGAAAATTAAGAATTATTTACTTGAATTTACAAGGACAATTCAATTAACCTACAAAACTAAATCAAAATAGAAATATTTTCATTTACCATTTGTCATTTACAAGCATTTCCAGCCTTTATCAATGATCAACATCGCTTTAACTTAAGGAACAGTTCTCTCAAAGTATTTATAATGGCAGCATTGAAACTTGTTTGCAGAACAAGTTACGACAATTTGACACTGAAATTTTTTTTCACAATCTTTCCTTATACAGAGTATTAATGTAACTTTAAGATTTACTAACCTGTACGGATATGGTGTCCTCCTTGCCCGGTTCAAACCCAAAACCGTCCTCAATATCTATCGGACTGTCAGGTAAATCTTCCTCCATTACAAACACATCCATTATAGAATCAAAATACCTGGAGTTAACACAGAGCTAATATCATTGTATATGTAGCTTAATATTGTACAATCTAAAATAACCTCTTTTTAATAATTTTTACATAATCTCCATTTTAATGTAAGTTGACCCTATTTGTATCCAGTATACTACTGAAAGTTATAAATGAAGTAATATACACAAAATTAATGCACTATATTAATAAGCAAACTGAGGTTAAGTATCATCTAGTAACAAGAATATTTTTCATCTTATTTACACCTTCTTTTTAGATATATCCTTTTGCTGACTAGATATTGTAAACTTCCAATGTATTTTCGTAGAACAATTCTCCAATAGGAATTTACTACTGAAGAAGCATCTTTAATTTTTCATTTCATGTATAGAAATCCTACCCTTTTATGGAACAAAAATAAACAAAACTGAGACAGAAAGACAGGAAGCAAATACTTGGTACTATGATAATGAGTGATACAGGTATAACCACCTCATATACAGTGAAAAGTTTTAACTCTATTATATATCATTAGATAAAATAGAGAAAATATGAATCCCTAAAGAAAGCCCAACATGTCAATTTTGAAAATTTTGCAGGCTCGGTTTCATTGAGCCTCTTCATGGACGGTTCTGGAAAATGCAAGTTATCGTCCACGCCCCCTAGCACCGACTTGTGCAGAATTCAACATAAAATGGTAAAGTTATGAATTTAGAAACATCCGCAAATCATACTTTGTAAATTCATCAAAAGATGAGAAGGCGGCCATCACTCCCATCCTCGAGGCTACCGGAGGTTCGTCAAGTTGATCAATATGATTATCATCATAATTCTCCACGCTGCTCTCCGAACTATCTATACTTGCCATACTGTGATTCCTCGAGTCAAAACGTGTCACCATCATTCTATAACATTAAAATACAAGGTGAGTTTGCTTTGCCTCTCAAATACATAACATCAACTTAGTGCAGTATCAGGTTAACATCCATATAATTTGCTAGGAGTTAACCTATTATTGCACTAAGATGACAATATAACAATTAACATGCAAAAATATCCCTAAATGTTAAGGTGACCTATTTATCCAATGGGCAGGGATTTCTTCTTTGTATTGTTATTTCTATCTATATGTATGTAAACACTTCACTATAATAAATAATTTACTATTCTTGATTTTTATAGAAAGTTTACCTGATTAATTGCAAAGATTTAACTCAGACTGATATATTTATCAATCTATGTCATTGTCCAAACTACAATGCAGTTGATATGCTTAAGAACAAACTGGGCATGTGCACTATGTCCATACAGAGACATCAAATCATTGATCATTCAGTCAGGGATGCAATATGGAATAATAGTGCATTTATTATAAGAGATTTAAACAAGAGCACCCCTAGGTGGAGCATTATATGCCCAAAAGTGGTTGTTGTTTTTTTAGTAAGGATGAAGCATTTGTAAGACGTCAAATGGGAATAAAATAAAGTATTACCTCTTTCAAATAGCAATCCTCCTATGAAGTTTGAATATTGTGGGCTAAATGGAACTTAAGTTATGCTCTTGAAACTGTTTTCAGTTTTTAGGTAATAGTGACCTTGAATTTTGACCTTGGGACCCCAAAATCAATAGGGGTGTTCTACCCAATATGGACACTCATCCTATGAAGTTTGAATATTGTGGGCCAAATGGAACTCAAGTTATGCTCTAGAAACTGTTTTCAGTTTTAAGGTAATAGTGACAACCTTGTGACCCCAAAATCAATAGGGGTCTTCTACCCAATATGGACAATCATCCTATGAAGTTTGAATATTGTGGGCCAAATGGAACTTAAGTTATGCTGCGGAAACCAAATTGCTAACGGACGGACGGACGGACAGACAGACATTCTAACAGGAGAGTAATAATGAGGCTACTTTATTGTTCTCTCTATTGTTCTTTTTAGCCACACAAAAGAAAATAGCCACATAAAAGCATTATGGAATGAATGACATCAAAGAGAAAGAAAAGTTACCTATTGTCCCTCTAGCCACATAATTACTGTCCTGTGAGTGCGGACAGACAGACAGACACAAGGGGGTATAACATAATATGCCCCAAATTCTTTCGGGCATATAAAAATAGTTCATATAATAAACTGACTATAGTAGCTGCTATCAACAATGGTTATATGACAACCGGTGAAGAAAAAACATTTGGAAAACTTTCAGTCAATTCAAAATCCTGTTTTGAAAATTGTACATTTGGAAATGGTTATCACTGATATCAAGTAAAAATGACATAGCTGGCTTTCAAAACTGTTAAATCAATTTGATATACAGAACAATTATATTATAAAAAAGGTTTATATTTCATATATAGTTATCAGAGAGTTTTTATGTCATAACTAGACAAACCTGTTAGGATGAGATCTAGGTAGAACAAATCTGAATTCCACAACACATACACCCTCATGTAGATGTCTATGTACTAGACAATTCAACTCATACGCTATATAAGCCCTCCTGATGTATACCTGTCCAAATAAAATACAACTATTGTAAAAAAAAAATAATAATGAAAAAAATAATAACATGAATACATATAACCATGATATATTTAAAGATTCTAAAGTTTATATCATGTTATATTTATTAACAGAACCGGTGTTAAATAGCCAATAAGCACAGCAAAATCATGAGGAGTGTTAGAATTTACAATATCAATGATTTTCTTGCTAAAGTGATGTCTTGAAGTCATTTTTTTATTTCTATCATTTCTAATCAAATTCATACTTTCTGTTGCTAACAAAATTCAAAATATTTATTCATTTCAAGTGAAATTAAATCTTTTCATTTCTAATCAAGTCCAACCATTTTATATCTATCCAAATTCATTGTTTTTATTTATAACACAATTTACCTCTAAGGCTGCGACTCTGACTAAAGCATTGTTGTGAAAGAAGAATTCTTGTAATACATCATATATAGCTGACTCAGAATTGATCAATTTCTGAAAATATATAGAATAGTAATATATAGTTTGAAAGACAATAAAATTGAGTTAAGATCAAAAGTCAATTTTCAGTGATGTAATTCAGAATAATAGAACACTTATGCCATTTTCATTTTGGATCACTGATTCCAGCGCACTGAGTTTTGATTTAAGCTGTTCCATGATGGCATGAAGGAAGATGAATTATTCCATTAACCCTAATAATCATACTTTCAGGGCAAAATATATATTTGTATATAAAAATATTCACCTGCAGACTTTCAGGGCAGAATATATACAGGTATATAACGAAACTTTTACCTGCAGACTTTCTGGGCACAATATATACTGGTATATAACGAAACTTTTACCTGCAGACTTTCTTGGCAGAATATATACTGGTATATAATGAAACTTTTACCTGCAGACTTTCTGGGCAGAATATATACTGGTATATAACGAAACTTTTACCTGCAGACTTTCAGGGCAGAATATATACTGGTATATAACTAAACTTTTACCTGCAGACTTTCAGGGCAGAATATATACAGGTATATAACGAAACTTTTACCTGCAGACTTTCTGGGCAGAATATATACTTATAATATACTTATATTTATTGATAAATTACGTATGTTTTTCATTTTTTCCAGAGTTTTTTAACTTCTCCGTTGTTTTTCCTTGTCTCCAGCACGAAAACCGTATTAGTGAAGATGTTTTCTGTTGTGCATTTTTCCATTTGAAATAAACAAACTACATCTAATTGTTACGATTAATTTAATTGCTGATCAAGTTCAAGGTCAATTCAATGCAGTCTAAATGTCAACAAGCGAAGCATATACACCATCTCAGTAGGGGCGGAGCGGTGCATTGTTTATCCGATATTATTGGATAATACACGTCACGGGTATACTTAACTTCATTTGCATACGCAAATACGGTTTGGGAAATAGAATTTTTCACACGTTTATTTGTTGTGTTTTGATTGTTGACACTTGTGACATTACGAGGTGGCGTTCTCTAAAAACACAACAGTATAACTAAACTTTTACCTGCAGACTTTCAGGGCAGAATATATACAGGTATATAATGAAACTTTTACCTGCAGACTTTCTGGGCAGAATATATACTGGTATATAACGAAACTTTTACCTGCAGACTTTCTGGGCAGAATATATACTGGTATATAATGAAACATTTACCTGCAGACTTTCTAGGCAGAATATATACTGGTATATAACGAAACTTTTACCTGCAGACTTTCAGGGCAGAATATATACTGGTATATAACGAAACATTTACCTGCAGACTTTCAGGGCAGAATATATACTGGTATATAATGAAACTTTTACCTGCAGACTTTCAGGGCAGAATATATACCGGTATATAATGAAACATTTACCTGCAGACTTTCAGGGCAGAAATCATGGCCGTACATATCTACAGCTGACAAGAAGATATTCTCCATTTGATTATGTCGGAGCTCATATGGTGGTTGATGGGCAGCTATCAGTATCTGACGAGCTTTCAGGGCAACTTTAGCATTCAGGGTACGGTTTAAGTTTGTTAGCTCTGTCAGGATACACGTGAGATCATCTGTTAGGTTCATATCCTTGCCACATAACTGTTCCTGTAAGAAATATTTCCTTTAAATTATTAACTGAAATATCTAAGTACGTCTGCAACTATGACAGAACATTTTCATTTCAAATGGAGAGAAGTTAGAAACAAAATTTTACCAAGAATTCAATCATCACATGTATGAAAATATATATTATTTAGTGACAATGTCTTTTTCTATTTTACATAATAACCTTATGCAGAATAACAATTTAACTATTATTTATTGGTACTAAATAATATTTACTTGTTGATAAAGACCATACAATACATTATACATAGAACTAATGAGGAAATGCTCTTGCTTTAGATCAGATCAACTGCATAAAATATAAGATCCTTTAACACTCTTGAGAAAGCTGTCTCAACACTTGAGACTTATGTTTCCGAGACTGACCAGGCCAGCCAGCAAATTTTCACTTTCTGAAATAACTATACTGTTGGCTGTTACACTGATGATATCTGATAGTTCCAACTCAAAATTAGGAATATATATATTTTTTTAGTTTGTTTTAATGTCATACCAACAAAAAAAAGGTCATATGGCGACTTTCCAGCTTTACTGGTGGAGGAAGACCTCAGGTGCCCTTCTGTACATTATTTCAGGCACTAACAGGAACCCGAGTAGAACCACCAACATTCCGTAAGCAAGCTGGATAGATTTCTTACGTGAAGAATCCAAAGACCCTGGCACAGTTTGAACCTACAGTGGTGAGAGGCAAGTGGTTTAAAGTCAACAACTTTTATTTTTTACATAAATTATACAAGGCAAAAGATTTAAACATCTCTTACAAACATAACAATGCCTCACCTTTTTCAAAACCTCATTCATATTGAATATAGAACAACTTACAATCAGCATTATAATGACATTGTTTTTCTTGGCAACAGCGAGACTAGAGAATATATTGCCAGTAACCACACCTATATCATCCTTATTTCTCTCTATCAGCTGGGCTATACATTTATCATAGCTGCCTGAAATTATATATAAACATTAGTTAATGTCAAGTTTAAAAAAATGTTTACTTTTACATGGCTTTAAGTTTACTTCAAAAATACATGGAAAATATTTACAATACAAATGGTTTTAGAATTTAAAGGGACTCCACTTGACAACATCAGACTGGAATTTCATATCTGAGATTTGTGTACAATTTGATAAAATTCCAGACCAATAGCTTGTGTACAAAAGAAATCAGATCATTCATTCACTTCATTTTGCCAAAACAATCATCAAAACAATCATGTTAATAGTGGAAAATGACCCAGAACGAAAACTCAAATTAGGCTAAGAATTGTACCAAAAATGTAAATTTCTACTTTTATTGAGAGTATATTTTTTTATTACCTTATACTTATTTTTCAATTTAACACACCCAAGCCAGCCTATGTAAAATATTTCAAATCTTAAAGCTTTAGGCTTTTGGACCCAAGCTGAGTTCCTTTCAGCCACAAAAAAAAAAGAAATGTCCTATAAGGTTCCTATATTCTACTTTTATTCACTCATCGGACAGAAAGTGTGACACACAGATATGGGCAAATCTACATCTATCTATATGCCCTCCCACCAACAGATAAAGAACTGACCATTCTGGAACTGTATTTCCACTTTAAGATACTGCCTCAGTAAATCTTGTATGACTGTTTTCATGTGACCTCTAACACCATTCCTGTAACTGTAACAACAATACTTATATCAGTGATCTTGTTCACCATATATGACCTTTAATTTCAAGAGATCTTTCAACAATATTAACATTTTTATAATAATGTGACAACATTCTAGCTTTACAGTGATATTTGCTCTCATACTTAGGTTCAGGAATTTCATTACAGCCACATATTTCTTTCACACGAGTGTTTAATTTAAAAAAAAAATATTTATGATATAGAAATCTCCATGTAGAAATTGCATCAAATATGTCTCTACATTATCAGCATTGTGCATTATTTATTACAAAGTTTAAAAAAAACTTAATGATTAAAAAAAACATAGATACTGTATAAATACAGCACATCTTATGAAGATATACATCATTCCCAGAATATTACAAGTAAATTTACCTCTGCACAAGTTCTACAATTCCCTGAGTATTCATAAAGAAGACATCTCTTTCAGCCCGACGTGTCAGTGTCGCAGCATGACCATCTATTACATTGGCAATTTGTTGACTTGGAAACTGACTCAATACTGACGTCAAGTTACTAGCATAGGATGACAGTAACTTTCTTATAGCTTTTTCAACTCTTGATGGAATACGTCCCGAAGTCACCGCTATCATTTCCTATACATATAAAGACATTTTCTTTTTGAGAAATTTTTAAAATGTACAATAAAAGCAAAGCAAATTGATACTTTTATCAACACAGTCTTCAGGGGAAGTGAATTAACCATTCCTTTTAATTCATGAAAATTTACTTATTTTACCACATTGGTAAATAATTTAAGATCAATATTCTCAAATCTAAAATTACTAGCACTTATTTGCTTAATTTCATTTTGAAAATAAGTGGCTATGCTTTGTATACTTTTACCTTGCACCAATAAGGAAAAGGTCATATGTTAACTTTCAAGGTAAATGTATATGGATGTGGATGTTAGGCGCCCTTGCAGAATTATTTTGTGTTTGTGCCTTGTTCAAGGAACACATTTGAGAAGAACCATGATACTTTAAAGCTAGCTTACTCACAAAACTGAATTCAACATCCTTGTTGGAATTCCAATAAACAAACAGTGAATAGAAACACTGCATTCAGATATAGCTACAACAAAGTAACTTTTACCTGTAGTTCCAGCAAGGGTAGAGATGGATCTTTGAGACATTTGATCAGACTTTCTACAACAGTTTTCAGTTTCTCTGTGAAGTATGGCTCTGGTAACACATATCCTGCTAGTATATTCTCCAACTCATCAAGATTCCTCTTGTAAATCTGATGAAGCTTCATACCATGTGCTGGTGGATTCTCAGAACTTGGTAATTTGTTTGTACATGGTTTTGCCTATATATTGAAAAAAATCCATTTTATTTTTTATATATTTTATATTTATATTTTATATTTTTCAAAACATGAGTGTCAAGAATTTAAAGCAAGATTTACTATGTTAAGAAATATTTTGTGATTCTAGTTAACATTGTTATGCAAACTTTTTGGAAAAGGTAAACAAAATTACTCACAAATGAAAAAAAAAAAATCTTCTGGATTTCTTTCCTCTTCTATTTTCAGTAATCATGTTAAAGAAACTTTAATTTGTGATATATGTATTCAAATGTCAATTTGTGAACAAACTCATCATTTTGACACATATTGCCTTTAAAAAAAAGAATGTATTTTTTACCTGTACAACTCTGGTGGGATCGTCTAATACCAGGTTAGCCACAATGGTTCCTGAATCTAGAACCGCACCAGGCCTCTTCAAATAGTGAACACTGAAATGACAAGTTTGTTTGTTTGTTTCATTTTACGCCTTTTCCCAACAGTATTTCAGTCATATAGGCGGGTAGTTTCCTAACCATCGTTCCTGGAGAGTTACACCAGTACTAGACTACCTTCCTTCGCACTAAACTACCAAAGCATCTCCAGGGGATCGAACCCATGCCAGAGAGGTGGATAAGAAGTCATCGACTCCAACCCCTCGACCACAAGGCGGTTTAGTGTAAGTATCAAGGCTATTGTGAATTCAAATTTTAGCTAAATTTTAGTTTATGCAACATATGTATGCAGCATGTCTAATTGTCTAAAGCAAGCATTTTACTGTCCGCTGATCAATTTTATAATTTTGATATCCCTCAAACACAAAAGACAGTTAAAAAATACAGGACAAATAATTCAAATTATATATTGAAGGAAATATTCAATTAAAATAATAAGTAGCAATTCAAGAATATTGAATCTCTTCTGACAGGATTTCTTTTTTGAAAGAATTTAATTAACCAATTGTTTTAATGTTTTCAAATTTTGATAACTTAAAAGAGAAATACAAAATATGTACCCTGGACTCTGGAATTTCTTTCCAACCACATTAATATTCTTACAAACACTAGAAATTCATTTACCTATAGAATCAAGATTAAGATTTATTTAATATTTTTGTTTGTAAAATTTACAGGGAACAGTATACTAACCAGCCATTTTCTGTGACACGTAATTCCATCACCATCTTCATCACTTCTATCTCAGCATACACATCTCCACTAAACACATGTCCTCCATCCTCTACTACATAATTGATCAACTTACCAGCTGATGGTGACCTAATAAATACATGATATTATACATATTAGATACATGTTGTTTGTCTTTTGTTTATCTCACATCTGAATATTACTTTGCATGGCTTTACTCAACATTAAACTCTTAAAAATCCTATGATAATTTCTGATCTTCACAGGCAGTGATGAGGCATCAGGTGTCCTTCTTTGTATTGCCTCATATAGAAAAATGAACCTTGGTAAAGCCAGCCATCAAACTTTTTGTAATCAAAATTAAGATGAAATGCCACCTCACAAAAATGTATAACTCTTTTTATATAACTCAGTATGAAATTAGGCAGGCAAAGTAAAGTAACTATGGGGTTATATTTTTTTTTCTAGAAAGATGATGACATCAGTCAGCCAGGCTTCTGTTAGTGAAAGTTTGCGAGTCATTTACTCCTTTATTACATTTTGACTTCCAGAATAAAATGCTTTTCCTTCTTTACCTATGTAAAGTGATTTCCATTGTCAGACATTTTGCAGTCTCTGATTTCCAAAGTTTGTAACTTAATGGAAGCCCTGCAGTTATATTAAAACTTTGTTTTACAATTCATTTCAATAGTGTAGCTAATATCCAAAAATGGTTTGTACAACAGTTTTCATCGCCTACTTCAGATGTTCAGTACAAATGTATATCAATTATGATAATGATTGCATACTGTTAAAAAAAAATCCACAAGACATACCTCAACACTGTTGGATCATTCTCTTTCTGTAGAACACAAGTCTGATTATCTATGGTAATTCTGTATGTGCTCACTTGCTCCTTCATGTATGTTGTATAACTTGATCCATCTATAGACAATAACAAACCCCCATCACTTAATCTGTGTGCCTCTAACTCCAGGGTGGAATCATTCATTGATAGGAAATATCTTATTGGTCCAGTTTTCACAACCTGTTGAAATATGAAACTTAAAACATTCAAAAATTACAAACAGTAATATTATAGAACATATTTAAGGACCGATAAACTGATCAGTTTGTAAAATCACAAGATCTCTCAATACATGCTTTGATATTTATTTTTTTCTTGTTTGTTCTTATGGTGTTTCTTGACATTTAAAAAAAACAATATGGTTGAACATACATTTTATCTACTTTTATGGTGGATAATGGACACCCTTCTTCCCCAGAATTTGTCTTTGCTTGTAAAAATACTACCATTTTTTTCAATTTCAGGACAATTAATGGAAAAAGGCATTATAACTTAGCAACAAAGACTTTTCGAAATATCAAGATTTTCTTTACCTGACAATCTCATATTTTAATAACTACTATTTTAGCAGAAATATGTAAGCAAATAAGTTTTACATAGCCTTATTTCTAAAAGGTCAATGAATTTAAGTGTGTTAATTGGTAAAACAAAACAACTTACCTCTAGAGAGAATTTGACTCCTTCATATATAAACTCAACTTCAACAATATTCTTCAAAGAATTGGCAGGCAGAATTTGTCCCCTATAAAAAACAAAGACAAAACCTTTGATTTTGGGTGTAAAACACATATATCATCTAAGTGGAAACATTTTCAAAAGCTGATACTAAATTTAATAGTATTTGACTGCTTTACAATGAAATTTTTCATTACCAAACAGCAGTGCTATCATAATAATTTATATATTGATATACAACTGAAAAGTGGCATTTAAAACAAATTCAGACATCCAAAACATTTTCAGAGTCACTTGTCCTGCAGGACAAGTAGCTTCTTAATCCAATGTTTAGGCAACATTTTTCTACTCCTCCTGCTTCGAGTTCTCTTAAATTCTACGCGTAATTACGAGACAAGTGGAATTCTTGATCTCTGAAATTCTTACTTCTTAGTCAACATACAGAGAAAAAGCAAGCAGCTCTACCTTACAATTCTTCTACTTGGCTATTCCTGTAGATAATAAACAAATAACAAATACAATATAAGATAAACAAATAACAAATACAATATAAGAAAAAAAAAACAACTCCTGCTGAGAGATAGCAAGTAAAAGAACTTATTATTTACCTATTAAGAGAAGCCTGGAAGTCATGGAAACCAGACTGTATCATGTGATCAGCGATATGTAGAGCACCACACATCACTCCTAACATCATGTCCGGTTTCTCCGCTTGTACCCGGTCTGCTATCAACTTATCTAACCAGCTTGTTGTTATCTTGTTTGACTGGAATTCCTCAGTCTCCAGTAGTTTTGTTAGATACTCTACAGTTGTACGGAAATCTCCTCGAATTGATAACTCTTTCAGGGCAATTACCATATTTCTGAAAAAGTAAGTAATATAATGTATGAAGAAAAAAAACTTTAAAAAAAAACACAACAAAAACAAACAAAACATAAATTGCACTGCATGACTGTGATCTTAGGCTATCTCTTAAACTTACATAGTCATTGTATGCTCTGAAGTCACATTTCTTTTTAAATAACACCAGCAACAAATTTTTTCTGTAAATATGACGCTTTTACTAAATCTGTCTGTTTTGACATAAGAAAGAAAGAAACAACATATATTTAAAACTCTTGTAGATCAAAACTAATATTAACCATAAATTTTAGCCTAATAAATTTCAATCCTATAAAGAACAAACCAAAATAAACCATATATTTAAATCCAAGCAAGAAAATAACAAAATGAACTATATATCAAAATACTATCGCAAACAAACCAATAAAGTTTTGAGGCAGCTCTCAGAACCTAATTTTTATGTTAAATAACATATTTCAATGCTATATTCATCAAACTGACATAGTAACGCATTGATCACATATTAATTATAACAATCTTACTCTCGGGCATCTTCACGGTCCTCGCCCCAGGAGAAACAATGACCAAACTGCGAGTCAGCAAACTCATGTAGTCCTCCAGATGCTGCCACACTGAAATATCCCCATACATTCTTACTACTACGGAAGTTCAACTCCTGAACTGTACCAGAACTTGGTTTGAATCCCTGTCAAAGTATATGTATCAATTAAATTGTCTATAAACTCAACTCAAGAAAACATAAATCATTTTACAATTAAGATAAAGCTGTAAGTATCAGATATCAATGTACATGTATTTAACATTAATATAGGGTTAACGCACGTTTTTCTGTGTTATAACATCAGAGTCCCGGTGGGGGGGGCTTAACAGTTCCGAGGGACTCTCAGTTTAAAAAACCCCCAAAAAAACTCTTGGCAATTAAAATTTTAAAAAGAAATTTAGTATAGTTTAACAAAAAAACAAAATTAAAATTCTGGTGCGGTATTTTAATTTATTTTTACGTATCTTCATTTTTTCGGGGCCCAACTTAAAACCAAAACCGAACAAATTTTTTTAAAATTTTAAATTTTTACAAACTGGCCTTTGGAGATTTAAACCCAAAAAAAAAACCGTTTAATTAAAATTACTAACCTTAAACCCAAGAAAAAAATAATGACCCTCAGAAATTCTTAATGATTTCAAAAAAGAAAAAACCTTAAGAAAATCAGAATCTTTTTTTTCTTTTTAAAAAAGTTTTAACAAAATTCAAACTAAAAATGAAATTAATTTTTTTCTAAAGAAATTTAAAGAAGATTTTTAAAATAAACATAAAATAAAAATTTTTTAAATTAAAATTTTGGAAAATGACCCGAGTTTTTAAGAAAAAACGATGTTTTTTAAAAAAAACAAGGGTTTTCTTGTAAATTTGTTAAATTTAAACTTGGGGCCCCTTTCTTGAAATTAAAAAAAGATTGCACCGATTTTTCTATGCTTTTTTTTCCGATAAGGTACTTTAAATATCAACTGTAACTCAAATCATATAAAATTTTCAAATTTTAACAAAAGGGCATTTGCCCCGCCCCTTTGGGGAAACAAGGCCCAAATCGGTCAAAAATTTTTGTGTTTTTTTTTACTGGGCCCCCTGTATGTAAACGAATTGGTTTTAACCAACTAAAAAAACGGGGAAGAGTTAAACAACAAGTTTTTCCATTAAACATGGGCAAAAAAAGGAAAAATAAGCCGATTTTATGCTATAAAAGGTGAAATAGAACTATTCAAAGCTACTTAACCTACTGTTTTATCTTGTAAACAATACATCCCGTAAGCACTTGTACAGTTTTGATATTATTAATTAACATATTGTTGCTGCTAAAACGCACAGATATGTATAGCATTTATCTAAACTTGATTTAGCTTCCTGGAACAAAACAGTGCTGCTTTCATGTGAGGAAACATGGCCTTGACACAAGCAGGGCTCCAACCCAAGATTCCTTGGCTGTAAGGCAGACACCTTAACCACTACTACACAGCATAGGTTCAAGACTGAATTCTCATAACGCTTTACTGTTTGAAGTCAAAATTATAAAATATAGAATAGTTATGAGGTAAATTGTTTAGCACATTTCTTGTCTTTAATAATGTAAACTATTTCACAATGTCAATATTACTATTCACCTCATCAGGATTTTCACTGGTGATTCTAGCTGCTATAACATGACCTTTAGGTTGTGGTTGTAACTTAGGTTTATCAAAGTCAATGAGAGAACCACCTGCTGCACTCTCACAATACAGGCATCGGATATCCTTCATACAGTATAGGGGTAAACCCATAGCTATCTGAAAATACATATACAACAAATTCATTTTCCCTCTGAATATCAAATTTCAATAATATTACTTGTCTTTTTGTTCATGTAATCAAGTATCATGTACTTCTAAATAGCAACAATGTTAAATTGATCATTTAATCTTAAACTTTATTTCAACCAAACTATCAGAATTTCAATATAAAACATGTAAAATCTGACTACAATATAAGATACATGTATATTTTTTTTAAAACTCTTTTTTAAAACTACACACACTATATTTTTAAATCTCACATGCTATGTTTTGGTCAATTCCTCATGTACTATTAATTTACATGTCAATCAATCAACCAACACAATCAATCAATCAATCAACCAATAACTGTTTCATTTGATTTCCTATCTATTCCTTCAACCTTTACCTTAAAAAATCTCTTTACAAATAAATTTGAATGACACACAAAGCAACAAGAATTGTTGTAAAATGAGATCGTTACCTGTAACTGTAGAGCAGGTAGGTTGACATCTGCCACCATTTCTGTACACGGATGTTCCACCTGTAGTCTGGGGTTTAACTCGAGGAAGTAGAATGTTCCATCATCAGCATTATAGAGATATTCTACTGTTCCAGCACTGATATAACCCACCATCTTAGCTAGTTTTACTGCTGCCTGAAATAATGTGTCATGTGAAACATCAGCAAAGAGACTTTCTAATAGAAAACCTGCATTGTATGTTTTCTATCATTTAATAAGAGTTAATCAAAAATTATAAGCACATTGTGACTTAAGCCATTAGAATTATGTCAATTTTTTAAAAATAATAGTGTTCCTGAGAAAATTTTTAGTCAAACATTGTGCAAAACAGAGCAACCTGTCAATGATGTTGAAAATCAGACTCTTGGAGAAAATACAAAAATTGTTGTTGTTTTTGCAGAGTGTTTAATCCATTAAATTCAATATTTTTCAGCATGATATCTTCAATAAAGGTATTCCAAAAATATATTCCAAGCCAATAAACATTAGATTTGATTAATTGTCAATATAGGCATCTCATCTTGAAAATCTAAAGAAATCTTTAAAACTAACCAAGAACACTATATATATACCTCCTCCATTTTTCTAAATGTTTCAGATGAGGCTATAGACGTGGGAGCTTCTTCAATAATTTTCTGATGACGTCTCTGTATAGAACAATCACGTCCAAACAATGAGATAGCGTTACCATAGCAATCTGCTATCAGCTGTACCTCCAAGTGACGAGCTGCCTGCGCCATCTTCATTACAAACACCGGTGAACCAGGTACCTCTGTTTGAACCTGTAATATTTAGTGACAAAATTATAATTCTGTCTACATTCCTCCAATTTAAACAAGTTGCAGTTTGTTACCAAACAGTTACCTAACTTACCTTCAGCAAATGTTTTTATCGATATCGGTAATAAATATGATTGTTTGTTGACAACTATCAAGGTTTTACCATGAAAAGCTGTCATTCTGTTCATTTTCAAGCTCATTTCCAGACAAAATTAAGCACTTTTTGAGAAATTTACCCCCCTTTAACCCTTTTTTTAATTTTAACATTTTAAAAAACCCTTTTTAAGAACATTTTAATTTAAAGAAAATTTTTTTATCCTTAACAAGTTTTGTATTTCTTTTCTTTTAAAAATTTTAATTTTTTTTTATTAATTTTCATTGTTTGGAAACACAGGCGCTTAAAAATCATGGTTTCCCCGTTACAAAAGCACAATCTGAACTTAACCATGCTTATTTTTCATGCACTCAAAACTGGCACTTTTTCCTAAAATATTAAAAACATCGTTGCGACAAACATTTGGGTTTTAAAAAGGGAAAAATGACTTTATAAACAAATTAAAAGGTATAAAATTTGCCCGCATTTCAAATTTTATTTAAAATTTAAATGCTAAGGCAAAATACCTTTTCTTTTCCCAGTATATAAACAGACAGAAAACACTTTAATTTTAACAGACCTTATAAGTTAAAATACTCCTTCAAATAATTAAAGGGGCTCATACTGAGCTTTTTCCATAAAGGGACAGGAAATAATTTTTTGAGAGAAATGTTCCATTTGTTGCAGGTCTAGACCAATAAATTATGCAGGTCTAGACCAATAAATTAAGTGCAAAATTTCAGACCAACTGCTCACTCCATTTTTCCAAAATAATTATTCTAAATGCAGAAAATGACCCAAAAACAGAAGTGTTGCAACACTTTTCACTCAAATTGGGCTAAAATTAGAACAAAATAGGACTTTCAACTTGTTTCCGAGTATATTTCATAATTGTTGTTTGCACATCTTCATGCTGATATTTTTAAGTATTTCGAATATATATTTTTACGTTTTAGGATCTCTGTGGAGTTTCTTTAAATAATGAATACAAGAGGCAGATCAAAGATCAAAACAGGACCTATTTATTATCATACAAATGTAGAGGGTGATGGAGTGTTAAACAGCACTCTCACCTGTCTGAAAAGGTTAGGGAACTCTGTAGCATTTGTAGCTTTCCTTATACCTTTACCACCTCCGCCCTCCGAGGCCTTGATCATCACAGGATACCCTATCTCATTAGCTACTCTAATACCATCATCAACATCAAATACACAACCTAAATATAGGAAAAACCATCAATTAAACACTAACATTTATCAGTGAAATATATTTATTATCACTCACTGTACAATCTCATTTAAATCATATCCTAACAGTTGCTCCACTACCCTTCGCTAAGAGTAACAGAGCAAAAATGATGATCTTATTTAATGAAATTGCTTATTGTATATCCAGAGATCGAAAATTCCACTTGACCACTAGTAATTACGAGTAGAATTTAAGAGAACACAATGCAGGACAAGTAGAAAAATGTTGCCTGCACATTGGATTTATAAGCTACTCGTCATGTAGAATGAAAGACTCTGAAAATAATTCTCATACATGTGAACTCTCCGACTTTAAGCGGGAGACTCTCTCTTTCTGCAACCATATTTTCAAAGATTTTTCATAAAATAAGGGGTATTTTCACAAGTTGTATGAATTTTCAATGCCTGATATCTTGGTATTTCCTTTTATCAAAATGCATACCGGTAATAGTCACAGGTGACACTTTCTTCAAAAGCAAAAGTCAAACATATACTACCATGTAAGAGATATGTACGATTTCATTCTTCCATGTAACATAAAATGCATTTCAGTACTTAATATATCTTTTATTAAGTCTTAGTGAACTCAAAATGTCATAAAAAATGTGCTTTCACTGTAAGAATGATTCTTAAGACTATATGTGTATAAACAGTGCATCTTAACTGCCTTACCTTTCTTATAGATATCTTGTGGGACGGTAAATTGTTTGCCTCTAGCCTGCTCTCCCTCTGACCACTGAATCTCTAAACCTGAACCACTCCATGGCAATGTGGGTACCCCAGCTGTCTGGGCAAGTATTGATGATGCGATCTTATCACCCAAAGCCCACATAGCTCCCTCTGGTGGGCCTAAATTAAGGAAAAAATATTATTGCTTGATGTGTTGTTTGGTTTATACAGAATTTATTTCAGTTTGATTCTGTAGGAAGCTATAAGCTTATAGACACACTTTCGAATCCGTTCCTGGAACCAACCAGTTTTTAGCAATAAGTGTAAAGTTTCTTGTTAAAGGAAACAAAATATTGCCCCTGACAGGGTTTGAACTCATGTGGACAGCACTTATTAGTAGTATTAGTCATACAAGTATGACGTGTTAACCACTGGACCATGCTGCCACTTGGTGTGTAGCTGTGATCAAGGTAAGACAAGCTGCTTTACTGAACATTCACATTATCATTAAACAGTAGATAATGAAAAATAAGTTTTCCCATTAATATACAAATGGCAAAGGAAAAATTTTTATAATATTTTTCTATATCTATGTTGTTCAATTTTCTATCAGCCAATATATTAAATCTTTTATAAGACCTCTAATCTTACTGGTATTTAAGATCTAAATGTTGGAAAGATAAAAATTTGTATCAAAGCTACCTTTCAGACTGCATATTAATTATATGCCAATGATGTACATGTACAATGTTTAGCAACCTACCTATAAACACAATACCATTTTTGTGTAGAAGTTCTGGAAGTTTTGGGTTCTCAGAGGCATGTCCCCATCCAGCCCATACAGCCTGAAACAAATTACATGTATACAATTCTTAACACAGTATATTGTTACTAGAAAAAAATATGCACAACTTTTATGCCTAACTTTACAAAATGTAAGTCATAATTGCCATATGATAAGCAGGTTACGAATTTAAACATGCATGTACAAGATCAGCTCCTCCCATATTGAAGCTGTCCAATCACGGTTGGCTTTTCTGTTATATACTAGAAATGATTTTTTTTTCATCTATAAAGAGACATTATATTTGGAACATCAAGTGTTTTGTCCCTTAAATATTAGCTATATGAATTTTTTTAAATTTATTATTCAGTACAATACTGAAGTAAAATAATATTTCAATACTCTATATACACTCACTTTAACACACTAAAATTGTGACCTACCTGAACTTGTGTTCTTTTAGCAATGTCAAGAATAAGTTCAACATTAGCATAGTTGTTATTGTTAGTCCCACCAGGTACAGGTACATATTGATCTGCCATCCTGATGTACTCTTAAACAAAAATAATTATTTATGCATTTTAAACACAACATTTTTAACACTAAACAGTCTGTTTTTGTATTAAATACAGAACACTAGACTAAAGATAAAAGGAAAAGTTTTAACCCAAGGCAAAGTTAGTAAATGTGAGAGAAGAAAATGCCTCGCTATAACAAACATTTTTTTGCTTCTGATTTTGTTAAGCTCATAGCCATTCAATATTTTTTTATTCAAAAATTGAGTTGTCCTTACTAATATGTTTCATGTATTATATCAGTAAAGCTGTTATCATGATAAGATATTTAAGACAAAGCCTGTCATGTAAGGCTTTTCTGCTAGTAAGACAGCAGCCAAAGATAGGCTGCTATTCTAAAACATAGAGCAGAAAATTTCATGCACACTTTGACAAAACGTAACATCAAAACTTTTATTTCCTTATCACAAAATGGCAATCTATATTTTTCCCATAAATGAAATACCAAAAATCCACTCTCCTCTATTTACCCACACCACTACTGCCTTAATTTGGGCTTTGGTTCATTTCCGGAACTTGCATATCATGTATAATACATATCATTCTGGATATATAGAATTACGCAAATTATTCTCATACCTGCATTTGCTTTAAGATCTTCCGGTGTAACCATGACAACAAATCTGATGGCCCTCTCTGACCGGAACATCTCGTATGCCCATCTTCTCACTGATCTGATACATTTTACAGCCGCAATACCATTATTCGCTATCAAAACCTGTCAATAAAAATACACAAAATTAATAACTCACATTTTTTTAATGATATAAAATCAGGTACATAATCTAGATGAAGCATCATAAGCAAGCAAAGGTTACATCAACACAGCTTTAAGGGATTATCAACTTCTTCAATAAATTTAAATGAAGTAACAGAATGTAAATGGCTTTTTCTCTAAACAATTAGCACATTTTTTCTTCTTCTTTTCTTCCTTTTTAAATCTTTAATGAACAAAACAGAACATATCTTTATTAACTCAAGTTACATAAGAAACACAGTGGTATATCTTTGTAAATTAATACATAATATGTTTACATATCCCGGTAGATCTACAATATTATTTTAGGTTTTCATAAAGGGGAAAACTTGAGAGATGGAAAAAGCTTGATGCTTGTTTCAACTTCAATGACAACATTGGACCAAAATGTGCAGTATTGCTTGTGCCAGTTTCATTTAAAGTTAAACTATGAACAGATCTTTGTTAGATTTTAAATAAAACATAGAAATATATGAATAAAGTTTAACTTTTTAGCCTACTTATTCTGCAATCTTTGCTTCACTGGTTTGTACAGTGATGAATTAAAACCTGTCCATTTTTAAAGCTTGAGGGGACATCAGATTCAAAGTAATATAAATATTATACTAGCAGACAGCAGAAAATAAAGCTGGGAGATACCATAAGGTTATGTAGGTTGGTCAGGCTCAGTACTGCCAAGTTAGGGCATATTCAAGTTATTGTTACAACTAGCAATCAAATGGTTTATCTATAATCTACTGACTTTATGTTACGTCACGAACTGTGTAAGGGTACATTATCAATTTAAAGGGATATCAGGATAAAAATGAGCCGCGTCACAACAAAACCAACATACTGCGTTTGTGCAGTCTGATCAGGATCCATGCTGTTCGCTTACAAACCCTATAACAAGTAGAGAAACTGATAGCGAACAGCATGGATCCTGATCAGACTGCGCCGATGCGCAGGCTGGTCTGGATCCATGCTGGTCGCAAACCCATTATGTTGGTTTTGTCGTGACGCGGCTCAAATTAAAAGTTAAACAACCATCAATATCTGGCCTGGTCAGACTGCATGGATGTGCACATTGGCCTGGCTCTATACTGGTGGCAAAGGCTAATCATCTTTTGGTTCCAGAAGTTCAGACAATAAGTTTTTAATTGAATTTTCATCTACAGTCTTTCTTTAAAGTGCAGTTTTATTAATGATTTGATTTCTGGTAGTTACTTAAAAGTTTATGGGAAAATCTACTTCAAATTTAATAAGGAAAAAATCTGGAGACAATTTGATCCCTCAGAAGCATTCATCACAACAAAATTACAATGAAAAGACAAAAAAACATACCAATATTATCATAGCATGAATATAAATGATTAAGCTATGCATAAAAACAATCATGTTTCAATTCATATATAACATGTATAAAAACATTATAGTACAAGTAAGTCTATTACAATACCATTTCTATAAATAGAACAGTATCATAAACTAGATAATAACCTTTGTATTGTAAAGATCAATATTGTAATATATATAATATGCTTTATCGTGTGCCACTTTTTGTCACTGTAATAATATCTTTGCACTTAAAAGTAAATACAAAGAAAAATGTCATAAATTCTAGCATTTTCCCACACCATCGTCATAATAAAACCATCCTATCATTTAAATAAATAAGCAATATACATGTATACCTCAAATATATAATATTACAAAATTGTACCTTTTTAATGACAGTACTTTTACTACCACCATATGTCTGCACCAACTCCTCGGGCGTGGCCACACAGAATTCTTTCGGTATTGACTGTCTCTTCCCACGAATATCAAAACTACCCGACATTGAATGTCTGATGTAAAATAAAAAAAATAAAAATGTAAGACTTTAAATAATGTTTATGATAAAATGTACATATCAGTTAGTAATTTTATGTCCTGTTTGTCATGAACATAAGATTAGTTAAAACCTTGACCCCTATGTTCAGTTTTCATGCTCTGTAGATGATGATTTAAGTAGAACACTGACCTGACCATTGGAATTCCTTGTATAAATACAGATTACAGAATATGTTAGTTCCTCATGGTATTGTAAACTATTGTGAACAACATTGTCTATTGTATTGTAAACTATTGTGAACTATATCGTATTGTAAATTATTGTGAACTATGTCATACTATAAACTATTGTGAACTATATCGTATTGTCAACTATTGTGAACTGTATTTTATTATAAATTATTGTGAACTATATTGTTTTGTAATCTTATGTGAACTATATTGTATTGTAAATTATTATGATCTATATTGTATTATAATCTATTGTGAACTACATCATATTGTAAACTACTGTGAACTATATTGTATTTTACACTATTGTGAACTATATCATATTGTAATTTATTGTGAACTATATCGTATTGTAAAATATTGTGAACTGTACTATATTGTAAATTATTGTGAACTATATTGTTTTATAATTTATTGTGAACTATATCATATTGTAAACTATTGTGAACTATATTGTTTTGCAAACTATTGTGAACTATATCGTACTGTAACTATTGTGAACTTTATCCTACTGTAAACTACTGCAAATTGTTTAATTATTGTGAACTACAGTCGAACTTCGTTCGCTCGAACTCGGAGGGCCTGTGCAAATTTGTTCGAAAGATCGGTAGTTCGAGCCAACCGAGGTCGAACTATTATTACGTTGATCATATGCCTAAAGGTTTATATCATACATTGGTCGAATGATAAATACGTAAATATAATTGTTTGTTAGTACATTTGTTCGTCGAATATGTTACATTTAGAATTATTATCCCAGTGTTTTCAATTAAGTATTAACTGTATGTTGTGTTAATCTATATTCATGCATCTTGTAATTGGTTGAGTTCGATTGGGCAATCAGACCAAACTTGTTGAACAATGTTCAAAATATATTTATATGTTTATAATGGGATTTTTTTTAATTTTAAAAAATAAATTAATGAAATATTTAAGAAAAAGTTTTACAGCACCATTTATTTGTAGTCATTTACTTAAATAAACACACGTACAAGTATCATTCTATTAATACATAACACTATTACAATTCATGTTACATGAACTACGGTTGTAATTAAAGCCGTCCGGATAAACGTCATTCTTTATCGACTTTTGCATATTTCACTTATTTCACAAGTTCCTTCCTTCTTATTGTTACCATAAATGGCAAATAAACAATATTATTGTAACAAACAATTCGGTTACAACACCTCTTATTTTTTATCAATTAACCTTAATTGCCTTTGTCATAATCACAAGGTGTTAAAAAGATGTGTCGCCGACTGTCATTTATTTAGGACATGTCGACTTGTCTTTTTGTGTTCGACCAAAAAGGTGTGATTTTCACTATATATATCTGCCGAAGGGACCAGAGATCAGGTTCGAGAGTTCGAGCAAAGAGGTTCGAGCGATCTGAGGTAGAACAATATATATTATATAGGAATTTTGCCGGGACTTGGCGATGAGTTCGAGCAAGGGAGGTATTTGAGCGATCCGAGTTCGAGTGAACGAAGTTTAACTGTATATAGTATTGTAAACTAATGTGAACTATATCCTATTGTCAACTTATGTAAACTATAACTATCTTTTTATCTAGTATTGAAACTTAGAAATATATTGTAGCATCCATTGAAAAGTAAATATCATTAATAAAGGAATGATACAAAGAGTATTGTCATAGATTTTGTAGGTGTCCAAATTTTAATACTATACATTATGTATTTATATATAATTTCCAAATTAAGATCATACTTAAAACATTATTATACATGTACAGTAAAATTTAAGAACAAAAATAAAAGAAATTTCTTTTAATATCTGTCATTGAACAAAACTAGAACTGCCACTATCATGGCGTGAATACCCCCGCATACCACTTTGTCAGAATCAACAGTGGCCATTTAGAACTCAAGGACAACCTCCCTGCCAAATCTTAGGTTACTAAGCCAGTGCATTGCTAAGTTATGTATTCTACATGCTTCAAATGTGAAAATGTCAAAATCAATACACTCTGGACAGGCATTCTGAAGCAATTGAGGGGAAAAGCTTTATTTTGACAAGGTCCCTGTGACCTTGACCTTTGACCCAGTGACCTCAAAATCAATACGGATCATTTACTAATCATGACTAACCTCCATGCCAAATATGAAGACTGTGGGTCATAGGAACCTTAAGTTATTGGGCGGACAAGCTTTTTGAAGTCAAGGCACCTGTGACCTTGACCTTTGACCTCAAAATCAATAGGGGTCATCTACTAATCATGACTAACCTCCATGCCAAATATGAAGACTGTGGGTCAAAGGAATCTTAAGTTATTGGGCGGACAAGCTTTTTGAAGTCAAGGCCTCTGTGGCCTTGACCTTTGACCTGGTGACCTCAAAATCGATAGGGGTCATCTTCTAATCACGACTAACCTCCATGCCAAATATGAAGACTGTGGGTCATAGGAATCTTAAGTTATTGGGCGGACAAGCTTTTTGAAGTCAAGGCCCCTGTGACCTTGACCTTTGACCCCAAAATCAATAGGGGTCATCTACTCATCACGACTAACCTCCATGCCAAATATGAAGACTGTGGGTCATAGGAATCTTAAGTTATTGGGCGGAAAAGCTTTTTGATGTCAAGGCCCCTGTGACCTTGACCTTTAACCTGGTGACCTCAAAATAAGTAGGGGTCATCTACTTATCATGACTAACCACCATGCCAAATATAGAGACTGTGGGTCAAAGTAATCTTAAGTTGTTGGACGGACAAGGTTTAATTTAGTCAAGGCGCCTATGACATTGGCCTTTGATCCAGTGACCTTAAAATCAATAGGGTTCATCTACTAATCATGACTAACTTCCATGCCAAATATGAAGAATGAGGGTGAAAGGAATCTTAAGTTATTGGGCGGACAACTTTTTTGAAGTCAAATCCCTGTGACCTTGACCTTTGACCCAGTGACCTCAAAATCAATAGGGATCATTTACCAATCATGACTAACCTCCATGCCAAATATGAAGACTGTGGGTCAAAGGAATCTTAAGTTATTGGGCGGATAAGCTTTTTGAAGTCAAGGCCCCTGTGACCTTGACCTTTGACCTGGTGACCAATCAATAGGGGTCATCTACTTATCATGACTAACCTCCATGCCAAATATGAAGACTGTGGGTCAAAGGAATCTTAAGTTATTGGGCGGACAAGCTTTTTGAAGTCAAGGCCCCTGTGACCTTGACCTTTGACCTGGTGACCTCAAAATCAATGGGGGTCATCTACTAATCACGACTAACCTCCATGCCAAATATGAAGACTGTGGGTCAAAGGAATCTTTAGTTATTGGGCGGACAAGAAAAAACCGCCGGACGGCCAGACGGCCGGACGGACAATCTGATTCCAGTATACCCCCCTTACAACTTTGTTGTGCGGGGGTATAAAAAAGTGAAATTTATTTAAAATTGCATCATATTTAAATATTTATATCAATGGTTACCTGAGAAGTTAACAAAAAACAACTAGGATAGGTTTATTTCATTCATAGATCTGTATACAGTACAGTGAAAGATAATTCAAACTTTATCAAAAGGAAAACATTAAGTTTTTTTGCACATTCATGATTCAAATATGGTGAGTACAGAATCTTGTTAGGGCCACCTTAAATTTTGGTGACACATAATAGTTATCACATTTTCAGTGGGGGCAGACAGACCCACATTATTATAGTAGCAATTTAAACTGATGTCTTTGTTTTAATACTGTAATTATTATCTTGGTTTCTTTTTAAAACACATGTTTTTTTTTTTTAATTTTTGCATTTATTTCAGCAGACTACATTTATATCATCACGTGTACACCATAAACATTGCATATATAGAATTTAATCTAAATATTAAGAACAATTTAAGCAAAATGGTAACTAGAGTATATATAAAATAATTTGTTTGAAATTAATAGCATTTTTCAATGAAAATAAAATGGTAAAGAGCAAAAAAAATAAGAATTTAGCTAAAATACAAAAAAAATATAAATCAAAGAAAAAAATAAACTTACTCATTATCCATTTAGTAAAATTTAATCATTAAAACATTTATTGATCAAATTGATTCATTCCAATTCACTTTAAATTATTATTTTATATCATGAAAACATATTTAGTATTTTTTTATTTTAAAATTACAGTCATGACACGCAAGAGCAAGGTGATGTGTAAAATCTAAATGATTTCTTTTTTTTCTTGTTATCTAATGTTGTTAAGAAATTATCTAGAATAACTGTAGTAGTATGGTCAATTACTTCCTGGTTTAATTGGTTTAAATGCCACTTCAACCTGCAATACTTACATCGGAAATCAGCATTTTAATAAGGAAATGCATTTAAACCAAAAATATGTATACATGGACAGTAAACTGCTGAATTTGAGTATTTTCAATATAAAATTGTGTTTGTTAGGTAAAGATTTACAACATAAATTCAGCAAGGTTATAGCTGATAGTCAGTAGCTTATTTTTTCTATACATATAAATTTACCAGTGTATGCATTTTTCCCAACATCTTTCTTCAACAGTTTAATTATATACACAAAAATATATCAAGAGGCCTAGCAGATATTTCGCTAACACACACACTAGGAAAAAATATTGTTAACCTATCCAAAGTAAAAAAAAAGAACATAATTATCATGAAATCTTTGAAAAGTAGCCAATTCTATCTAAAGCAAATGCAGTATCAAAAATTAAAAAACATACATTTTCCCATCCATGTTCATGTGCTATCCACTCCATAAAATACACTGTGAGCAAGGTTTAAATGAAATTTTACACCGATTTATATTTTTCCTATGTATACACAATAACATATATGTGCTGGGCATCATCTATATAACTAAACAAGTCAAGCATTGATTTATAAATACGGTAGTTACAGCACTTTACAGTAGCCTAGAGTAAAAGCTGATGAGTGAAATGGATGCCTTAAAATAGAAAATTGTATTTGTGTCCTGGATAATTTACAGAAAACTTAGCCTTGGATCTTGATGTATAAACTGTACTGTAAACTCATATGATAAGAGGTAACGGTATGTATGTTAAATATTTCACTACGGAAATACTTTAATATAATTTGTTAATCAAGGGAGACAACTTAATGGTATGAAATGACATAAAGTCATGCATTTATCATCTTTTCTTCATGCATTGCAGTATAACAAGGGAGACAACTGATTGGTAAACAAGATAAAATTATATTATACATGCATTTGTTATCTACCCTGATTATTAAATATGTAAGCTGATTATAATAGAATCATGCAACGGCGATGACAGTTAAATCCAATCTGATCATACTAAATTGACCTACCCTTAATAGTGGAAAATGTGCTTCTTGCAAACTATGTATACTTTCTTGAACATGATTTCATTCCCATATAAATAACACCTGATGCTATGGTACTTTACATGAAATGGCACAAAAGTCTCATTGTCATTAGATGCCGCTTGCAAGCGGCGTCTAGTAGATATGCATTTGTCCATACAGCAATGGGGAAAATTTTAGACTTGATTTTGTGTATTTTTTTTCCACAAAATCACAGTTTTTAAAATTTTCTAATACAAATAGCTTTTTATGATGTACAACATGTCACAGCTGAGCTTTAAGGGATTAGAATAAACGTTTAACTGAAGTGATAGTGCCATGTTTGAATATCATATTCTTTTTATCATTATCTAATTTTATCTACATAATAAATATTGTGCCAATGTCAGCTAGTCTATTGTCGATCGTTCTAAAGAGAGGTGATAACTGAGGCAGTGTCACTTACTTCATTTGCTTCGCCTCTGTTGAAGTTTGGCTCCGCCTTAAATTGTCATATTAAATTTGATATTATGCTCCATATGCTAGCATTTAGTCTTCATTGATGGGGTAGAAGGACAACTTTGATCAATATCACTTGTCAAATCATTAAATTACAAGCCTACAAGCCTAAACCACTATCAGAGGCAGTTCTCACTGTACAACAAACCGGTTACGCTACGGCCTGTAAGGAGAGATCACTGCAGAACAGTTTGTCTTCAAAATCATTCGACATTATTGTCTTGAATTTCTTTTAAGTATACCAATCATTTCAATTTTATTTGTTATCCAATTTATTTTGATTCGACAAGACGTTTCAATCTTTGTCGCAACAGACAAACATTTAAGAATTTCAGACCTGGGATTATTTTGTGAATTTAGGATTAGGTTCTACTTTTTCACAAAAATATGCAACTTAATTATTAAACAACAAGCACATACCAATAACATGGAGAAAAAATTGATTTGTGCTTCGGATATTCAAGTGTAACAGAGAACAATTTTCAATGCTGATTGACTGTTCACATCATTTGGCGGCATCTGTGATGTGCAGCATCAACATTTAACTTGTATCATTCTGATGTTTTAAAATTTGATAATTACACCATATCTATCAAAATGTTGAACTCTGTTTAAGTTGATACTGGGAGACATGGACAGTTGAATGTTTTTATCACTATAGTCCATGAACAAGTTTAATCAAAATTAGACCGAGTCTGCAACATTTTCAATTTTACTGTGTTGGGTGTCTTCTAAGGTTTCCACTTTTTCAATATGTTGCCAAAAATAAGTATTAAATATACTATTTTTTATGCAAAGTAATAGTTATGTATCTTCTTAACAAGTTTGACTTTAATTGTCCGGTGTACAGGAAATAAAATGTAAAACTCAATAGCATTGACAACATCAATGGCAGACTTTGCAAAAATTATTTTCACACAAACAAAGCTAAAAAATGATATGCATCAGTAGAAATAAGTAAAATAAACATAAGAATTCCAATACTAAAAACAACCTTTTTTAATATCCAAGATGTATCTCTTAAACTCAAAAGAAAGAGATTGAAAAAAAAATGAAGAAAATATTTCTGTTCAATAAAAAATGCATTTCAAGCTATCATTTTCGCTGATATAGCCTCTCTTTGTTATCTGTCAAGGTCATCTTTAGTGCTCTGATTTAAATGTCATTTCTCTACTGTATATACTTAAGCATCAGTCAATTGTTACCAGCAACCCTAACACCCTGTGGCAGTGCCAGGAACAGTGGGCGAAACAAAAGAGTCCAATTTACCTAAGTCTGTTTGTCTTGCACTGAGCAGGGTGGACATAGAGCTTTAATTTTTGCACCAAATCAATAGAATTATGTCAAACACATTGTTTGTTGAAATTTAATGGGTATTCTACCATTTGACTATGACAATTAACAAGATTCTGATGATGAAAAAAGTCAAATTCCCCTCTTATCATTGGAGTTTGGGCAGGGGGTGGGGGGGAGCTTGGGATACATTTGACTGTTGCATTTATATCTATAGTCTATAATATAAGTTTATTTCAAAGTGATATTATTATTATCATAATTTAAATCATGAAGCCAATTTGATTCCCTTATCCATTTAATATTCTTCAGCTGAAATCATGTAACAAAAATTTCAACAATGTTTTTATAAACTGTGATACTAGCATTAAACCTACAAAACAACCTAAACCCCATGAAAGTTGATTGGTGTAATTGAGCAATTAACCTGAGTGTACCTTTAGACGTGCATCCAAACAAAATTTTGCCATCGACTTTTTCATCAAATATTTAAAACTTTGAAAACCTTAAATTGGTGAATGTATTAAGAAAGTATTCACAATAAAATATAGTGTGACCCAACAAAAAACACAAAAAAACAACATTTTGTTTATTTCAAATTAAATTACACATAATGACAATACACTATAGCCATGCCTTATCAAGCTTGTAAAAAAAGCAGCAAACAGTAAATGAAAAAGCTATTTTACTTGAAACAAACACAATCTGCTTAGCATCATAATATAATCATACACAACTCTGACCTACAAATAAACAAGGGCCATAACTCACCTGTGTCCAGATATATTCCTTTGAGGAAAGCAAATGAAAAATGTTTTCAGACAAAATTTAATACTTTTTAAGAGCAAGTAAAATCCATTATAGCTAAATCTGCATTTTATAAAAATTTTGAGTCTTCATTATTTGTATAATTTTTCTTGAACTCTTAATTTGTAACTTCATTAATTCTTTATGTCAAATTTTAGGATTTGACCCATGTACATGTACATATATAACTGAAACAATAAAACTAATATCATAATATATAAACATGTATTTTGCAACCACATCAAACTGCCAATTTTTTTTTTACATTTAAAAATTTCTCACACCAAAAAATAAATAAATAAATAAAAAAAATATAATATATTAACAGATGTATATGTTTTCAGATAAAGTCAAAATAAGTATATTGCAGACATGTATGGATTATTGGGCAACATGCAAATTTCGCACAAGAAGCAGTAATTGGTACATGAAATACATATACAAAATTTAAGCTCCAGCCTCTAAAAGGCTGATAAAGGTTTGTAACATTGATTCATTAGCTCACAAATATTTAATGTACCATAAGCATTCATCTGTAAAGCTGTCCAATATGTCATATTATAAATATAAAGTTTGGATCTAGTTGAAGAAATAGGGAGAAAAAAATCCCAAACAGTAACATAATCTGTTTAACAAGAAGTATTATATTATATTGAGGAAAGGAAAGAAAAAAATATGTGCATGTATTTTGGTGAAGCTTAAATACATAAAAGAATGAAAAGTGCAAACTAATATTATAATTCATAATGTATTTCAAGATTTGAAATAACTTGGCTGGAAAAAGCATCAATTTTTTTTTCATCCATTTAATTTCTATTGACAACAAATAACTTTATTTTTACTTTTAGAAGCATTCAAGCTTGCAATAATCTCTTCATTAAATTTTACAAGACACAAAATTTAATGTTCTTCTTTAATCAATTATGTGCCTTCATAAATATAAATTTTACATTATCTCCCTTTACAAAAGTATTTTATTATCTCCCTTTACATAAGGCATTTTAAAGTTCATACAAAATTTATTGACATACAAGTCATGTACTAAGTTTCAAACCATCTTACTATCAGATGTTTCAGAATTCAACCATCAAAGCTAATAAGTGGTGCTTTTTTTAAAAAATGAAATTGCTACTACTTTTAAACTAACAGAGTGACTTAAAAGTTTCATTTACCTTAACATTGTTCTTGGGCTCATAGATAACTCTGCTCCTGGTTGTAGCTGGACATTTCTGGTGGGTGATGTTACATTTATTGAGATGGGTGTGGTCTTACTCGGTACAGGGATAGCAGCACTGGCTGCAGGGGTCTTCCCCAGGGAGCTGGAACTCCCCTTCTTGTATTCACCTTCCTCTGAGATAGAATCATCATCACCAAGTACAAACTTTACGTCTTTCTTACCCGACATTTCGTCAAGAAAATCTGTAAAATAATGAATAAATAAAAATACCAAAATATGATTTGATGCATGACAAACGGCTGTCACAAACATTTACTTAAATATAAAGTACATGACTTATATTTATCATTTCACAAACATGTTTCAAACTTTCATAATTTGAGTAAAAAAGGTTTTAACCCATGACCTGTTAGCTGGAACCAACAGTGATTAACCTTTGCCACCACTGTAAGAGCCAGGCCAGCTTGC